TTCCTAAATATGTAGTAAGAAACGATGCATGGGTTATACGTCGGATGTGGCAACTGGGTTTAGCGTCGACCGCTCTCCACGTCTGACAAATGACCCATGGTGCTACATAATATTCGTTACAGGTTTGGTAAAGATATCATATTGTTTCCAACCACATGTAAAATGAATGAATTACTAAACTTGCTAAAGGTACTATTACAATAATGGAAGTTCATGATAAAATATATGGTCATTTTTAATCGGTTTAAGATGTAAATAACTTAAATTTGATGCAGTGTATAAATATTACATATAAGTGACAGTACTATTAAAGATATATTAGTTAAGAGTTTTATAAAGAGTTGACCATTCTTGTTATAATAATTCAAAAATAGATGATAAAAAAAGAAAATATTGAAGATTTCAGTCAAATTATTTTATTCTGAACGGAGTTGTCATTGTTGGAAGTTTGGACTAGAAAAGGCATCAAGCACCGTCTCCAAGAATTGCCGATAGTTTGATTGACAGATGACAACTCCACCCACATATTCTCGATGATCAAGTAACATTCTCAGTGGCTTTGGTACCCTCAATTGGCAGGCCTTTCATTGGCAGTCTCTGGTAGTGACGTCAGTGACTAATGGTAAACGTTAGCTTGGTCAACCATTTATTGATTTAATTTTAAATGGACGACTGTTTAAATCCAAGCCCTCTGAGGGTCTACAGAGTTGATTTTGCGCTTGTCATGTAAATAAAGGTCTATATATTCATTTCTATAACATTTGAAGCCTAAAGTAAGACTTGCAATAGACAGATTTAGCTCTTAGCTAATGTATCTTTATAATGTCTGAATGTCATTTGAGGATTGTTAATCCCCTGCAAACTACAATATTGTGGAAATTTCATCATTAACTGGAATATCAGTGGTTCCATTCAGTATTTACAAAGATACAATGATTTAAAAAAAAATTAAAATTTGGTATCCTCTCCTACCAACAGTATAAACTGGATATGGTCAAAACGGATGTAAACCAAAACCTTCCAAACTCACTTCATTAAAAACACCCAATAATTTGGTCATAACTTACCTGAATATATATATGACTGAATTCTTATTAAATAACAAGTTTTTAATCCATCATTTTGATTTTTTATGGCCGTTTACAAACAAGCCGGCGTCATCTTGAAGTTTTGCTGAAATCTTTTGATGTGCCTCTTTTTTAATGAGATTGAATCTGAGCCTGTAGATTATCTTTTTATTTCTTAATTAAATGTTAAATAATTAATTTGCGTATATTTAAGCTTGGATTAACCTGTGGAAAGTTTGATATTTTACCAAATAAATACAAATGACAGACAACTACACAGCTTTAATTAATGTTAAATGAAATACATGTAGCTGTCTAGTTTTTGTGAAATGAAATTCAATTCTTGTCAACAGTAGTCATTAATAATTACTGGAAACATGATATTTGATACCATATAGCCTGTCTTTTGTTTAGAATAGGACACTACATGCATCCAAACCAATAAGATAAACCTGCTGACAAACTAAGCAGACATTGCAAAAATAAACAGCCGTAAGCGTTCACTGTGCTGTACAGTCCCGGGCCTGTAATGCAGGCTTCACTCAAAATGAAAAACAAAACACAGATATAAAAGAAAGATGCAATAGACATGATGTGATCAGTCTTGATGGGGGTCGTCTCCTGAATGCCGTTTCCTGATAACAATTGAGGCTACAGTGTTATTAAAATGAGTGAAGTAATTTTACTGAAATTTTGAGCATATTCCCTCTACATTATCAATTTTTTAACTGTTACAGTGAGAACTGTCAGCTCTTTATCTAATCTCCCATACTGCCGCTTTAATTAATGGTAATTAATTACTTTAATGTAATGTGTATTGGTTATTAATTAGCCTACATTGCTAAAAATCGGAAAGTAATTGTAACGATATTTAAAATGTAATGAAAGTAATTCACTAAATTTGTAATGTAATAGACCCAGCTGTGCAGAAATAACAATATTTTATTGTCTAAACTTTAATGTCAGGTAAACTTTCACTTGAACAGTTAGGCAAATTAAAACCTGGTACATTTGTGTTTGACGTAATTCTATTATCATTTTCTGTTTATTTCAGAGGATGTAAAAATTTGTAGTATTGTGTCTTAGGTGCTTTTTGTAAATACTTTAGGAATCGTACAATAGACATCTAAAAAAATATATTGGTGATTTTAAATATACTCTTCCCATTTGTCAGGAAAATTATGATACTTTCGAAAATTAGGTATTTGGGGCAAAGATTTTAACAATTCTGTCAGGATATCTTCCCTTCAACTCCCTAGCCTCCATCAACGATTCTATGTACCATCATATTAATGTTGGTACAAGAGTCAAGTATGCTTCCTGCGTGACAAGGAATGTATGCATGCTAATCAATTTGATGGCATGAAAAATGAAGGCATACATATATGCTAGTGTATAAAAGCCCTACCAACAATTGGAATTATAAACACCGATGTACAGGCAAATTAGCGAAACAACCATAATCAGTGTTCAAGACAATTAAATTCCTCTCAAATCTGTGATTAAGTTTACAATATGGTCAGACCAATTTAATTTTATGTTTTTCTTTGTCTTGATGAAAAACAGTGACACTCGAGTCTTGTAAAAGATTTTTTTGTTAAAGATTTCAAAACATTCTAATTTGGAACTAAAACCGTTTGAGAAGAGCAACCAAGATATTTTTGTTTTTAAATTAGGTTTTTTTTTCCCTAAAGAATTAGGAACTAGAAGTTTAAATGAATAAAAAATTTAAATGTGTGTGGTCTAAATAGCTTTGTTATCAGTTGTGCTTTTGATGTATTTGATTATCTGAGTTATAATAAGAAGCTTATCAAAGATTTAAAATGTTAACATCCTTTTCCGTATTCACTGACTGGTAATTGAAAATGGCACTCTGCTATATATGTATGTTAGTCAGTATTCATGCTTCAAAAACAACTTCTATCTTATGATCATGTTTTCTCCTTTTTATTTGAATTAGCTTTGTTAATTTATAAAGTGATTGTGTGTGTATTTGTGTGTGTGTAAAAGATCAAAAATGGGAAGATTAAGGCATAGGTTGCCACGGAATAAGAATTGTACTAAAGCAGTAACTTCGATCTCTAAGGATGTCAATTTTATGTTATGTTTAGGGTCAATCTGATTAAAACACAGATCCTATTTTGTTACGTTTTTTTATAGTTCAAAATTTTGTTTTACTTGTCTTTCCTACACTTGGATCAGGGCACTATTTCACAAAAACTTAAACTAAAATCACTAAAATAGATTTTAACTAAAATCAAAATGAAATTTTAAATATTATGTGTTTCACGAAGATCGATTGTAACTTAAAATGCAATTTTAATAGATTTTAGTTAAAATTGCTTGCGCCCGCGCAGTGCACAATTCCGGCAAGGGCACTTGGTGTGTAAGCGTAAATGCTTCGGAACTGAAAACTGTTGCCAGGTTGAGAGAGAGAGAGAAATGGGGTTTAACGTCCACTTGACACAAACTAGGTCATTTTGGGACTAACATATGGTTTAGTTTTATTTCAATAATTCGCTTGCGCGTAGGGGTCCTTAGCAGTGGGAGGAAACCGGAGGACCCGGAGAAAACCAACGAGGCTGGACAGGCGACCCTACTCCTTGTCACGTACAACCGGGGATTCGAAACCACGGCAGTTGACTCAATGACAGGTCTTATGATACAGCACGCACGTGCTAACCATTCGGCCATCCAACCCCCCTGTCGCCAGGTTGAACTAACTGTTACAATACCAATGAGGAGAGTTTCATACGTTGTAGCAATGTATCGGCAATGTCGGCAAAGCCCGACCCGCGAGCACCGTAGGTGCGAATCGCGCGAACACCCCTATGCACATGCAAATTTTATTGATATACGCTGTGTTATTAACGAACGCCTTTATTAAGAAATAATAATAAATTCATAATATTAAAATTTAATTTCAGATAGGCCCATAAAATTTTTCAATAAATGCATTTGAGAATAAAGATTATCTTTTTAGAAATCATCATAACCCCAAAACCATACGAGTAAATACTTTGCATATGGCGTGTCTAGTATTATAGGACTGTAGACCTTCTAATACCAAGAAATTGGCAATTTTAAACGAGTGTAGGCCTACAAAGATATTTTTTATATACTTTAGATATGAAGTGAGTGTAGATTATATATATCTATATGTCGCAATAGATCTAACAACGTAGGTCTAATCAATGTTTGTTAATGTCGTGATTTTAAGTTAGGAGAGGGTGACGTCTGTCCAAAGTTAAAATTGATTTTAGTTAAAATTGTCCCTAAAATAGTTTTGTGAAACGCCACTATTTAAAGTTAAGATAAAATTTTAACTTACAATATTATTTTAGTGGATTTTATCTAAAATGCATCTATCTTCAGTTAGGATGGAATTTTAGTTTAAGACGATTTTAAGGAGATTTAAGTTTTTGTGAAACAGGGCCCTGGAAGAGTTGTTATATAACAGGTGTCCTGGTTGACGAGAGGGATTAGTGAATGAAACAGTCTGCTGCTGTGATTTCTTGGCGGACGGTGCACAGAACTGTGGGTATCCCACTAGAAACATCAACGCTGATTGTTTAATCAGATATCTGACGTCATAGGTTAAAAAAGCCGCTTATATGACTCCTGCCGTGACCTATCATTACAACCGGTCAGATCTTCATGTAGTGGAGGCTATCGAGAGTATAAAAAACGAAACAAAATATTTTGGTTTTTCCTTTCTGCTTTATTTTTGAAGATCTGATTTGGCTATTGTACCTAAGACTTTCTCCAGTTTCCTTCCAAAAGAACTATCTTATATATTAAGTCTGAAAGTGATCTAGTTAAATTGTATTTATAGAATGTTAAACCACATAAATCCTTCCTTTGATTCCTAGAATTAGTAATCTTATGATGGATGATATTATTCTATAAATTTTTTTCTGGTTTCTATTTCAGTTGTCTCTCGTCATCTCCTTGAATTAGCTAACTGCACTCCAAGAGCTGTAGAACAGTTTCCTAAAGGTCTTTTTACACAGGAACAGAGGAAGAATGGTGCTCTGGTTATCCATGTTCTCGTGGTTATTTATATGTTCCTAGCCTTAGCTGTTATATGTGATTATTATTTTGTGCCTTCTTTAGAAGTATTATGTGAATGTAAGTATTCAGAGCATCTGGGGAATTGTGGCACTCAACAGTTAATTAATAACATGGTTCTCATTAGTCTAGGTGTTTGTATTAAAGTAAAGTGAGGAAATGATTATTACTGTCTGAACCGTGCTAAATTTTAAATGGATATCTTCGATTGTGAACAAACTACTGAATAATTGTTATTAAAAACTTGCCTATGTCTTTGAAATCAACTCCGGTTAAATAAAATCCATTGCACAATTAAATATCCCAACGATAAAAGAAGTTCTCTCTTTAAAAGTCAATGTTTTTGCTTGTATTTTCGACTGTGTTCATCACAACATTGTACATGTCACGTGACTCATCATAATATGTTGAAGGGGGGTAATGGTTGATAAATTTTGACAATCTCGTGTGTTGCAATCACAACAACGTGGGATCTTTTCGATCGTTTGAGTTTGGGCAACAAAAATAGAAACTGAACACAATAACATTAATTTGGAAACAATTGATTGTCAGTCTACTAAATTTTATTCACTATGAATATATCACCGATTACACGAATACTCATAAATATAATATTGCTTTTCACATCATCATCACCCCATAATTGTATATTATATTATATATATATTTTAATAAATTATATTAGGCCCTACAGTACATCCCTGTCAATTATATGTGGCTAACATTTATAAATAAACACACTTTATTTCATAATTTTAATTGATAATATTTCATAACGCGGAATCTTATCCCAATGCTCTGTGGTTATAAGTCTATTTTCAAAGTTTTATGATTACCACAAAAACCATGAAAAAAGGCCACCGCTTCTGAATAATTTCCATATTTAATTCACGTTCCGACTGTTCATGTCAATAATATTCTTGATTAAATTACTTTTTTTTTGTTTATTCGACAGATACTGAAATCGAAACATTCTTGATAAGAAAAGTTCGGGATGTCTAAACATCGTTTATCGTCTTTAGAAAAATATATTTAAAACAAAAAATCACTTGTCAAAAGAGGCATCGCAGATTGCGTGTATTATTGGGTCTTGTGTGTTAATTATGCAGACTGTGAGAAAAACTTGTGCAAGTTTCGCGCTAAACTTAACCATTTTCACTCCATCTGTGTAGCATACAATAAATCATATGGCATGGTATCTTTTACGATGATTTCAAACACACAGGTAAGCTTATAATAACCAAAGATAAGTAGTTTGTTCATAATTGAAGAAATCCGTTCAAAATTTACGACGGTTCAGACAGTAGTTTTCTCCCATCAAGTTATCTCTATAAGGATATCATTAGAAAGACAATATTGTCTAATAAATGAGAAAAATATTGATGACCAAAAGATGAGCTATTAAAACTGTTTACATATTCAACACAATTTATTTTGAGTGTCCCTAGTTCTTTGAAGAAAGCAGTCAACTTAATTAAAATGTGTCTGTCACACTTTCTGGAACACAATAACTCTGTCTTCTCTTAAACATGCATTATGCAAGAGCTAAATCTGCCTATTGCAGGTCTTTCTTTAGGCCTGAAATGTTTTCTAAAGTATTAATTAGACATTAATTAACAGATCCAGGCCTTAATCAACTCTCGATGGCATCAGATTTCTCCGATATTAAATAGATTAGAATGGTTCAGCGATACTTTGATTTAATCAAATATGGAGGACTGAGACTTAGCTTTGATCAACCAGTACGGTGGTTCAAATTATTGCACACGTCTGTCAAACCTTCAAAGGCTAATATCTTTGCTTGCAATAGAGTAATTTGAATGAAATTTTCAAATTATTCATTTTACATCATCTTTTTTCGAACTATTATAGCAAGAATGGCTAGTTCTTTATCTAAATCTTACATAATGTATCTTTAAGGTAGCATCATTTATTAGTTGGTATTTATAATTGAAAAAACACCCCCAAAACAACCAAATATAACATCATAAATGACTAAAAAATGAAAACAATACGATAAATCTCTGGAATGATTAATCTGAAATAATATGGTTTAGATTATATGAATAAACTGAATTTAAAATTCCCCGAAATACTAGATAATAACTACAAATTTTGGAGGTATTTTTATTATTTTGCAGTTTTAAATCTTGAATCAGATGTAGCTGGTGCTACTTTTATGGCTGCAGGAAGCTCAGCACCAGAATTAGCTACCGCTGTAATTGGAGTTTTTATTGCCAAAGTGAGTAATGGGAAATGTCATCTGCTTCTTGTAAGAGATATTATGGGGATTTATCTTACTACATTTACATTTGTTTACTGAATTGTAAGGACAGGAGACCTATTAATCTCATGTCTTTAATACACTTGATCTTTACAACAGTTCTACACAGGATATCCTCAAATAATAATAATTCACCAAGAACAAGTTCGTCTATCCTTGTAAATATTACTTAATTGATTTTGTATTAATTCTGTTTTTATGTTTCCATATGGTTCACATCATTTCCGTTCATGTACATACATGTTTATTGACAAAAAACAAGACTTTGGCTTAAAGGAGCTAACTGCCTTTATTTCAATTAGTGGTGAGAATAAAATCGATATGATTATATTTTCATTCTGTAATATTCATTGGAACCTAGTCTTTTTACAAATTTAGTTTTGTTTCAGAATTAATTCTCCACTGTGGAATACAAAAATCAACTATATCTCAATATTGACTCTATCAGCTGTGGGCCTAAAATTCTAAAAATCAAACAGCCCCCCCCCCCCTTTCCCTAATCAACAAATATATTAATTAAAACAACACTTCTATTTTATACCCAAAGAAATCTAGTCATTTTGATATTAATTATTCATATGTGAAACAACATGTGCAATATTCCTAACCTGTTGTTTATATGTCAGTAAACAATTTGCTATACATGTGTAGGTGTTACTAACTTGTTAGTGTATTTTGATACAAATGATAATTTTTTTTATTTCAGGATGATGTTGGACTGGGAACTGTTGTAGGTTCAGCTATATATAATGTTATGTTTGTTATTAGTATATGTGGATTGTTTGCTGGGTCGGTAAGTTACGCCAAACTTCTGCTCAGTAATGTCTTTAATAGCCAAAATTGATTTCAAATGATACTTTAATATCCAGTCTGTCAGAAAACAAATTAAGTTGTGGTTAACCAGGTATTGTCTGTCGGGAGGGTGGGAAAGAATTGGGCTTATCAAGAAATTATGAAATGATACACCTGACAAAATTTATATATATCACACTTTTGTACATAAGATAACAATCTTTACAAATAAAGGTTAAATGAGACAAGTTTTTATTGACCAAGAGAGTCTAGGATATCTTTCTTTATTAACTTGGATACCAGGTGACTTTGAAGTAATTATTACTGTTCCTATGTGTTTCTTATCAGATATTTCACATTTGTATTTATGTGTAGAAATAATCAGAGATTCAATCAATTTCTTGCTCGAAGAGAAGCTGGATGATGTGGGTGGACCATTAACAGATTATATAATCTGTCATATTTTTATGCTGAAGCAATTTCAGATATTAGACTTCAAATATGAATTCTAAGCAAATAGAAATCGTTTTCATAATTGAATATTATTCAGAATATTTGATACACTACTACTCACATTAACATCTGCTTTGTGGAACTATTCCTTGAACTATTTATCATAAACAGTTTAACAATAATAAAGTGTTTTTCCAAGAATAGAAGAAACTCCCTGTATGTAAACCTTGAGTTGTATTGATATTATCAAACCAAATATTGTTTTAACTCACAACAAATGTCAGCATAACATAAGAATAATATTAATGTCATAAAGACGTGTTTACACAATAATTATTAATCCATGCAGGTAACACTAAACATTATTAAGGATGGCTAATGCTTTTCTTTTTATCTATTTAATATGTTGATAAAATACTAAGGTTACAAGTATGGAATGAGCAAAATGATTTGAGGGGTTTTCTCCAGAGAAAGACATGTGACCAATATTTTGTGTTAAATTACATTTTTTGTCCGACATTATTTCCAATTTTTCAAGCGATCCATGCATTTCATAACATCCATCTTATTTACTGGATTAATCTGCTAAACATGTTTGCTTAATAACAGCTTGATGATGTGGTCTTTAGATTTCTATTTCCTTGACAGGAGTAGACCATTTAGTCTGCTATGAGAGAAATTTTGCCAAGACAGCAGCTTTCCGGTCTACACTTTGTTGAATTCCAATGGTCAATGGTTCTACACAGGACTTTAGTTTTCTGTCCCATCCGAAAGACTAGACAATGTTTCTTGCCCGACACTCTGTCCTGCACCATTGATAAGAGAAAACCATGCCAGAAAAACCTGATAAACTTTTTCAGGCAACACTGCGAAGAACACTGGCTAGTGAGTCAGCACCTTGCTCACTGAGCCACGCTGACATTTACTCCCCCACAGATGCCATAACAATAGATATAAAACTATTTAATCTATTTAATGGTCTACCTTGTTGATCTATATTTGCTATACAATATACAGGGATAATTACATACTATTTACAGAGGTTTATAAATATAACTGCTTTAACTTCAAACAATACCATATAAATCCATTCATGCCTTTAATGGCTTTATTTGTATCAGATAATGTTATGTTTTAATCAACTTTGACAGTACATGGAACAATTGAAATGAAATGGGGGTTTAACGTCTGACTTTTCTGCACCACCAGACTAACAAAGATGTACATATATCCTATGCCGAGTGCTATGAGGGAAATTTTGCCTGAACACAAGCTTTCCAGCCTATTCTTTATCTAATTGTCCCCCACCTTTTGGGACACAATAACATTCCATCTAATTGAGCTAGAAGGTTCAAACCTGGGGTAAGTGTTTATTACCTGAATGCCTTGTTGGAATAAGAAGATGAGCATATTCTGCATAGGCTATACAGAGATAAGCAATTTGATTGGTTGATGCTTTTGGACACGATAATTTTGGCGTGTCTAGTTTTTCAAGTGGCCAGATAAACCGAGGCGTGCACATAAAATAAACTTTGTTAGAATTGGCCGTAGCGCTGCTGTCTGGGCAAAATTTCACAAATGAAATGAAATGGGATTTAACATCTTACTGTTCTGCTCCGAACTGGGTTAATAAAGACGAGCATACGCCATATAGTGTGCTATGAGGGAAATTTTGCCCGGACAGCGGCACTACGGCTTACTCTTATTTATATCGAATTCCAACTGTAAAGGGATCTTTTACTTGCATGCCAACGTGTACACGGGACCTCGTTTTATTTTGTCCCATCAGGACGACTAGACAGCTGTCCTTGTCAGGCCCTCCGTCCTGCATCACTGACAAGGATGAACTTTCTCGGCCAATAAGTGGATCGAACACCCAACCTCCAGGATAGCGAGCCAGCGTCTTACCCACTTAGCCACCGTGACCCCCGCAAAAATTCACATAAAGAACACTTCATTAACCAAGTTGGTGGGGAAGATAAGATTTTATTGTATCGAAACATCCATTGAGGACAGCATACACTATAAACATATGTACATGTCATAAATAACAATAAGTGATATTTGGCAAAAAAACAACAACAAAAAACAAAACAGGTGCATTTTCAAGAATGAAACAAAAGTAAGATCTGATAAGATGATGAATTATTGATGGAAAAGTTGATTGTTTGGAGATTTAATTAAGACGATCACACCATGGCAGTACATAGTACTAGTACCGTTTTATGAAGAAGAAGAAGAATTTTATTGCATCGGAACGCGTTCTTTGAGGACAGCATACAATATACAAAGTATTAAATACAAGTATGGATGGGCATAAATTCAGAGCACTCATATAAATAGACAGTATAAAACCTGCAAACATGATTATAGGAAAATATGAAACAAAACGTACGATAAACATCTGACATTATCCGTGTAGTAAAGCACAAAAGCAGAGATAAAACTCACATTTTAAAAAGAAGATGGGAAGCTTCTTCAAGCCATACATTTATTTGGCATGGCTTTCTTGAACTCATTACTGACTGATACGGATTTAAAAGCCAAAAAAGTGGTTTTAATAAAGATGGATGATTTTAATTTGAAAGTGGTTTTGCAATGGTTAATCACCCTCTTCACGGAAGCAAAATTGACAAAGTAAAAAGTAATTTCAATTGTAAATGCGAAATTAAAGCATGTGAAGAAATTTGTTTGAAAGAAATTATTTAAAGGCAATGTTTGGACAAAATCTTTGTCCGGATCTGATATTTGAGCCATTGAAATGAAATGGTGTTTAACGTCCTACAGTTCTGCTCTGACTGTGCTAATGAATACAGTGTGCTATGAGGAGAATTTTGCCTGGACAGTGGCACTATGACATCTCTTATTTTGAATTCCAACTGTCAAGGTTTCTGTACACAGGACCTGGGTTTTTTGTCCCACCTGAACGACTATCCGTTGTCCCTTGCCAGGCCCTCCGTTCTGCACCACTGACACTGGGAATCTTGCCAGAAAATCCTGATGAACTTTCTCGACCATCTCCAGAATTGAGACCTCCAGATTAGCAAGCTAATTTCGAACTAACCAATTCGCACTAGAGTAGAGAAAGAATGCTACCAGGTGAATAATTAAGTAAGTTAGTCCTGATATTAGTATGCATTGGGTGGGGGAGAGTGGTTAGGGGCTATTGATATCAGCATGCCTCCATCAAAGCCAACGCTGACGAATATCCAGATACCAAATACAGCACACACTGCGTTGAAAAAAGATAAAATAACGTGACCTATGTGCACTAATGAATGATGGGTCATTTATGGCTCTTTACCTTGCTACTAGACACAGACACAGGGGCCCTTGCCATGAAGTCAAAGGGGCCCTTTTCTCTGATTTGGGGCCCTTTTTCTTGGACTTGCGGGCAATTTTCTTGTACTTCGGGCCCTTTCACTGGACTCATGGGGGCTCATGTCAAATTTTCTCTCCAGATTTGGTGTTTTCTTTGGGTAATATTTTTGCAGATTTTCACATTTTTGTCGGGTTGGGGCTGGCACCTGTGGCACACCTCTGCTATAATCTGCTGCTGGCAATTTGATTGGCCAAGACTTCAGAATGTAACAACACTGCTTTTAATTGAGGTAGAATGTTTAAACTTGTTGTAGATGTTCATTCGATGAATGTCTTGGACTCTTGACCGAGTTCAATGATTAACATTTTCAGCTAAAGCAGAGCTAAGCAGAGCTAAGCAGAGCTAAGCAATTTCATTGATCAATGCTTTGGGACAAGATATATTTGATTCTATCTGATAGAGAGTGATGAAACTTAGTGTAAAGTTGATTCTAAATTATGGAGAGTGATGAAACTTAGTGTAGCGTTTCACTGCCAGGTACCGGTAATTCAAAACCTTGACTGAGTTTGATCGTGAACATTTTCTGCTTAAACAAAGAAAAGATAACCAGTTTGATTGCTCGATACATTTAAAAAAAATAAATGTGCAAGTAATTAATATCTGTCATCTATTTATTTTGGGATTGTGGCGTGGGGGGGGGGGGGGGGAACATCAGCTTCACTGTTGGCTTGTTCCAGCTGTCATGGGTTCTTAACACACCATGCTGGAAAATCCTAAGGTAATTTCTTAGTGAAGCAGTACCGTCCTGAGGCATTGTGGCTTCCTAAATTCATCAAAATATATATATAAGCCTAATCATTAAGTGGCATTTAGTAATTAATTGAGAAACACATTGTCGAAACATATGTGCCTCTATTGTTTAAATATGTCTGTAATAAGTTGTATAATCAATTCATTTTATACAGTCAGTAGTGTATAAAGAGTATATATTATAATGTAGTGTCGTTAATGAAATTGATTTAAGATTAAACAGTATTTATTCTCAATGTTTACAATTTTTATAGCTGAATTACAGCTGTCAGTTGTTGTATGGTGTAGGATTTATAGTCTAAGAGACTAAATATGCACAGATCCCAGATAGTTCTTCTTAAAAGGTTAATATTTGATGGTCTGAGTGACAACCTTCGTAAAAGGCCATTCGAAATTGAAACAGTCAAGACTAAGTGAATGTCTACAGCATACAAACGTAAAGGGGGGTAGGGTTGCGGCTTGTCAAGTTCACTTATGTCCCACCAACAAAAGCATAGTCATTTCCTACTAACCAATCCATGAGCATAGGCCGCAAATGGAAAGATTACAAAATCATATTCTTAAAAACAGAAGAAGCTTCTGTTCTCTTAGGTCTTGTCTGCATCTCTGCGATATCACTTTTGTGGAAGCAGACGTTACAAAGAACCAAGGTAGTAGAAGTTGTAGTAGTACCTCCGTGCTACCTCTGAAATCATTGCCAACAAATAACGGACAGAAACTTTGATGTATATCCACTTCTTCCTAATACCTGAATGAACACTTTGTCCTTTTGTCACGTTGACACGATTTCATTATTCCTTGATTTGTGATTGTAAAATTTTTAATTTTGATAGGGTTACTCCTTAGTTCCAAATGAACAACCCTGTCAATTTTTAAAAGATTCCATCAAGAATTTTGTTCTGTATCATGTTCACAATAGACCTGGACTGGAAAGATATTTCCTAAACTGGACTTTGTTCTTTTTGATAAAAAATTCTATTGACCGACTGAAGAATCCCTGAAAATTTTAAAAGATCAGTGAAGAACCCTGACCTGCAGAGTGTTCATAAGTAAATTGTAGACAGACTGCTTGGCGTCAGGATGGAGGTATTAAAAATATACGTTCACATATAATGTTTATGTATAGTGAGTGAGCTCAAGTGATTTTGTACTGACATATTATTTTTGGGCCTTTATGTGTGTCTTAATATAAAAATTCCCCTGACAGCATTTAACGCATTACAAGTGATTCCAATCACAATCTGACATTTGTCCATGCAAAAGTTGAAATCTCACAGGAACAATATAAATATGCAGAGGAGTTAATGTCTGGTTTTAGGTTATTAATGATTTTAGGAGATTTTATTCCACTTTTCATTATCATATCTTGAAGGCCAGTGAATGCCAGCCAAGTATTAGTTTGAAATTGAATATTCTGCTCCGTTTAGGTGACACAAGATTTCGGTGCAAAGTACAATAAATAAATTACCCAAGAAAGACCCTCAAAAACATTGGGCAATTCCCCTGCTGCCCATACAGTTTTTCCAGTTGTTCTTTAATGGGTCCCGATCTCAGATAGATGGACCTGGGGTCCTGAATTCAAGATTTTTGTTTGGTATCGACGTCAAAAGTCTAGAACAGAATATCAAAGATTTACGGGAGAGACTCTGCTTTGCCCCCATGTCCCTCGGAGGTTATGGCACCCATGTTAATAAGTCTCTCGACAGTATTTCAGTTTATTAAAAAAAATAAAAGTGGGAAATAGATGTACTGTTATTTTGCATTCACAATCTCATTGAGTTTGAGACAAATTGATCAAGACTTATTTTGAATTTTCGATTTGTACAGTAACCAATCTATCTGCCATGTGTTGTCACCAAAAAATTGATCAGAACCACATACCTTTCTTTATATTTTATCCTATGATTGATAAAATATTATTTTGTTCAGATATATACCATACTCTAATAAAATGTAAACTGAATATTGTTGACTAGTAGACCCCTACCCCCCTCTCCTTCATCCCACCCTCATAAAATGTTACTATTAATTTAAAGATGCAGTAAGAACTAATTCTTCCTATTGCTGGTACTTATTTGGGCTTCAAATGATATATAAACTATTATTTAAACATTAATTTCTCATTACATATTTGTGAAATTATTTTAACAACAACCAGCTCTTTATCCCAAGCTTACATAATGTATCTTTAATAATGTAACTATATACGTATGTTGTTTGGGTTGTTTTTGCATCATACCATGCCTTTAAATTGAATTACTGACTTTCTATAAAATATATGATGTAGTTATTATTATTTGTGTCTCTATTTATGCCTTTTAAGATTATTGATTTCAATCAATATAGGCCTATAAAATATTGGAACAAAGATGATTTGAGTTGGATAATCATTAGTTCATTACATGGGACTAGATCAGTGATTCTCAATCACGGCACACTAAGAAAATGCGAAATATCACGTAATCCCAGTTGAGTATTCACTGGTGTCAACTGGTAAGTTCATAGCATGTTTTCCTTTAATTAGGTTGAGTCATCCTTTGTGTCTATAACTAGTCTGTGTCTACGGCTGTATGCTGTCTATGATTTGCCATGTTTTTATTTCGCAAAATTCAAATATTTTTCATATATATTTAGCCAGGTTTGCCGCTAATTTTTTATGTGTTCCATGGTGTGCCATTGACAAAAAATGTTGAGAACCACTGGACTAGATATTGACAGTTTATTATTGATAAAAGAGTCAAATTAGATTTTGAATTTCAAATGAAACAATATTTTTGAAAACCTTAGAAGATTGGTGCATGAGGGGTGCATAAATTTTATATATACTGCAATCAGCTTGGAGTCTTAAAATATTTTGTTTTTTGGATGATTTTTATGCTAAGATGGTTACAAATGGATACATTTAAAATTATTTGGGGGCACAATCCTATAGTACACTTTTATATAAAGCTGTGAGTTCGCTACTGGTCTAATAAACATGGTGTTGTTATTGAATTACATGTAGAATACATGAACACATTACCTGCTGTATTGATATTTATCTTCTCACCTGTTATTCTATTTTAAACCATTGATCTTTCTAATATAACGAGTTAATAGTTTTCTGTAACAGGTCTTGACTGATGATCAGTAATGAAAATGAAATAGAAACACTGAGAAATAACACAATGAAATGGATGCAACTAAAATTATATGAAACGTTGCTAGGCAGCATAAATTATTTCTGCAAATTGTTAAAATAGGTGATGGATGGGTCAGAAATGTGTGAAGGGGGTGCTAGGGGATATGTGCAAGCCTTTTAGCAGGGGCACTGAAATTGTAAAAAATCTATTGAAATTATTTTTCAACATTTGATCATAGAATAATTGGGTTCCTTATGAAGGTTTCTAAGGGGCACTGAATGCATGACATATGAATTGTCAATGGGAAATAGAATATAAGCAATTTTCAAAGCAAAATGCACTTAAAATTACCCCAAAACGATGGATCTACTGACAGCAAATCAGGTTCAAAATTGGTTAAGAGCTTTATTCTATAGACTGATTAATATTTGGTACCTTAGGAAGCTTTGCAAGGGGGTGCCAAAGGCACAAAGTATTGAGTTGTCAAAGGGAAATGAGCAAAATGCACTAATGACAAGCTTAAATTCTATTTCCCATTTTGAGCCATGGTGCTTCATTAAGTATGGCGCTAGCTCACTAACAACAACCTTATGGATATGCTGTCAACGATATTTGTCATGCTTAAAGTTCAATCAGCTGATAGATTGTAAAATCCATATTTCCGGCCATCTCTTGTTTGAAATCTTACTTTCACATTCATTCTTTCTCTTTCTATAGAATATAAATAAAATACCAAAAGAGACACACTATATTTATATCTTCTTCTGGGCTTATTAATGATTCTGCATTAATGATACAATGCATTTCATATTTTATCAATATATTTATTTTAATACAATGTATTCTTGACCCATCATGAAAATGAAGGTTCAATGATTCAATGATTATTGACTGGTTTCCACCTTGTCAGTGGTGCAAGATAGACGGCCTAGTGCAGAACAGTATCTAAACATTTGGATGGTCCAAAAAATGTAAGTATGTTTATTTTATACCGGTACTATATATGTTTTACATTTTTCAGGTTGTGTATTTACATTGGTGGCCTATGGTGAGAGATTGTATAGCATATACTGTTAGTATAGCTGCTCTAGTTATAGTGATATATGATGGTCAAGTTACATGGTTTGTATTATTGAATATTCCTACTTTGCAGTGAAGTTTTGTCACTTTAAAGATGCATTTTGTAAGATTTATATAAAGAGCTGGCCGTTCATGCTCAGGGCGGGGGTTGAATGGCCGAATGGTTAGCATGTGCGCGCTGTATCATGAGGTCTGTCATTGAGTCAGCTGGTGTGGTTTCGATTCCCCAGTTGTACGTGACAAGGAGTAGGGTCGCCTGTCTAACCTTGTGGGTTTTCTCCAGGTTCTCTGGTTTCCTCCCACTACTAAAGACCCTTACGCGCAATACGCGCAAGGGAATTATTGAAATAAAATTGAACCATGTGTTAGTCCCAAAATAACCTAGTTTGTGTCAAATGGATGTTAAACACTATTTCTCTTTCTCTCTTTAATAGTTCAGAAAAAGATAATGAAAAATGAAAATATTAAAAATTTCAGTCAAATCACCTGAGCAAAGTTAAGGATGTTTGAAGTTTTCACAATAAAGTCTTGATTGTCAAGTACTATTGCAGTGATGATAAACATTAAATTATTAAATGGCCATTATGTTGTAGTCCATTCAAAATCACATCCATCTAATGGTCTAGAGTGTTGATTTTGGGCTTGATTATGGATTTGTCATGTGAATAAATGCCTAATTAATAATGCCAAATTACATGATGAATTCTTCTTTAAATAGACCCTAATGTGTTGAGTATTTTCTCACATCTAGGGCTGGTTATTGGCACATTTGACCAATTTCCCCAAATTGGGCCTCGCACTAGAAAGGGGCCCGACAGCTCACCAAAAGTTTTCCAGGCAATCTGGCATCAGAGCTGCTAGGACGGGGCTATTTTCAGGTCTTAATGAGTTATTAATTGTAAAATAAAGCATAGTTGGCCTTAAATATGAATGCCTAAAGTTATTCATATCCTGCAATGTCCAGTAACTTTGGGTCTCCCAAATTGGGCCCAGCATTTTCTACAACCGGCCCTACTCACATCTTGAAAATATTTGTAATTAATGAACACAACTATGATGTTATCATATATATATATATATATCAGAAATACAGATAAGTTTAATATAGATTTCTGTCCAGATTGAATTGTATAATTATTTTTTTGACATAAATTGGTTTCGAAAAGTATGCTTAGAGAGAAATGACTAACTTGTCAAAAATTGATCAGGTTTATATATACCTAACTTAATATTAATATTTTCTTCGGGCTTCCAAGTTTGCTTGGAAGATTATTAATTTTGTAGCGGACCTTTAATTAATTTCTAGAGACATTAATCTACTACAAATAATTATCTCTAATCGTTTATCACAGTTTACTTCATTTCCTGACCTGCTTACCACCAAAAGAAAATATCCTCTCATCTCCGATTGAATTGATTTTAGCGGAAATTCCAGCAGTTTTCTTCTTATAGAGAGCCTCATGAACTATTGTTGATCCAGTGGTTATAGGTCAGCAGACGTTACGATAAGTGCCATTCAAATAATGGTCCATGTTACTTAAACCTTATTGGTGTTGTAAACCTGATCGATCTTAAATGTCTTATGTCAAGAACTTGGAGAGAATTGAATTCCACTGTGTAATAAAGTCAACAATCTCTTATAGAAACTTTTACTAAAACTTTTCAAAAATTAATTAATATGACATCTAAAGTGTGATGTTAATCCAGGTCAATCTGAAAAAGCTTTTCATAGAAAACTCACATGATATAATTTTCTCATTCCAAGTATACATATAATTATATATTGCAGTGTGGACACCGTAATCATCTCAGTTATCATATGACTTTCTAAAAATTTACAGGAATTGTTTACATTAATGAGATAAAGAAGCCTAATCACTTCAAAACTCATATAACATTTTTTCTATGAAATATGTGGACACTCAAAAACCTAAAGTTAACTTTTGATAGGCTTAAAATCTTATGCATTATTTATCTTAGTGAGACTAATTACTTTCTGAGTTGTTGCCCTTAGTTTTACATGTGATATGATAGTGCACAACCCGATTTCATTTTATTTACCTTTGCAAGATTGATGGCAAGATAATTTATTGGAGTTAGTAACCTCCTAGAACATTATACAATACATTGTATTCTACATAATAACCACATAGAACAGTATACAATACATTGTATTCTACATAATAACCACATACAACAGTATACAATACATTGTATTCTACATAGTAACCTCCTAGAACAGTGTACAATATATTGTATTCTACATAATAATCGTACTTAGAGCAGTATACAATATATTGTACTTAACGTAATATACACCTAGAGCAGTATACAATGTATTGTATTCAACATAATAAAATATAGAGAGCAGTATATAATATATTGTATTTATTGTAATAACCACCTGAGAGCTACAAAGAATTGTTCATAAAAAACGTTTCAAAGTTATGCTACTCAATACTTGTGTAACTTTATATTTTTGTAGGTATGAAGCTATGAGTCTAGTGGTACTGTATGTTCTATACATTGTATTCATGTATTTCAATGCTCGTCTAGAGGCTTGGTTTGTTCCCCGATGTACTAGATGTTTTCCTATGAAGCATAGGAATATTGGAGCAGAGGCTATTGTCCTCTATGATAAAATACAAACCAATGGTAGTATTACACTATCAGCAACTGAAGGTATTACCCTTAATTTATTTTTATATTTCCCTCTTGCAATCCATTTTAGTTACAACTTTTTAGAATTAATCAAAATAGCTATAGAATATTTTTCGCTTGTTCTCATTTGGATTATTTCAAATTTTAATTTAATTTTTATCAAATTTCAAGTTGCAATGTAAAGTTAGACAGTATTTCAAATGTATCAGCCAGTCATTTTCAGTGCCATTCACTCAGGGGATTGGTAATTATGACAAATGGTTTTGAGTTGATTTTTAGAATAATTGAACAATTTTCTCCTGAAATCTGAATGGAAAAAATTTATAATGATTGACTTTAATTAGGTGCAAAGGATACAAAAACTGAAGAAGGTAGGTAGATATGTATTACTGAAAAAAATCTTATCATGGGTTTGATTTAAAATTTGATTATAACCAGTAATCAAAATACAAAGTTCAATGGGTGATTTGGCAACAGTGGAGTACTCCTTGATTGCATGCCCCGCACAAATCAAGTATAGAGGGCATGTGAATGGTAGACATTTTAAATATGTAAAAACAGATGAAATAAACTTAATAAACTCCCACAATGAAATGTGCTTGTATATTGTCGTCACCCCTGTCCTTCACTCAGTCATTGGACGCTCTAGAGACTAAAGTTATTAAGGTCATGAGACAAAAAAGCCTACTGATTTTCAGCGATTTCTGATAATTACTGCCAGATTTATGGCCCTTGATCACATAGAAAAATCTTGTAGAGTGTTTAAGGTCATGAGACAAAGAAGCTTTTTGAGTAATTACAAAGAAGCTTTTTGAGTCATTACAAAGAAGCTTTTTGAGTAATTACGGATAATTACTACCAGAGTTATGGCACTTGATCAATTTGAAAAGTCTTATTGACACTCTAGAGACCAAATTTATCATCCGATTAACTTAAAATTTAAACACAGTTAAGGTCTATTGATTTTCAACGATTTCCGATAACTTGAACAGCTGAATTTGTGTTATTAAATGTTTTATAAACTAAACGTGAGCAAAAACTGAACTATAAATTCCCTCTTCGATTGGATGTCCCTTATGAAATAGATGCCCTTAGCTTTTGTTCCAATTGACCCCTTCGCTGCATGCCATTATTTGGCCAAATCAAATAATTCTGAATTCTTTAGCTACAAGGCACGTTATGAATGTCTTTGAGATTTGTGATTTATTAGAATTGCAATAGCAAAAAAGAAGAATATTTCAAAACATTTATTTTTTTTAGATTTCATTGCCAATCAAAAAGCTTGCTTTATAAGATGTTTGTTACCTTGGTAGCATAGGATACATGTAAAATCATTTAGCATCCATGAATAGAAATAATAGTATAGGTTTTAGTAATGTTTTAACAAATATTAACCCTTTCAATGCTAGACGTAAATCCACTGCCTGTGCTAGACCCTTTTTTGAGGAAAAAAGGGAGGTTGGAACTGAATGCCAAGCAGTACTTATGGAAGCTTTTATGAAAAATCTTTTTGTCTGTTGGGATGGGCATGAGGTTGGGCTAAGAGGAAAAAATAGAATTTTGGAAATTTGCATAATAATGTAGTCACGTGACGTCATGGCGGCGATTTTGGATTTCTCATTTCTCACTAAAGCTAACACGAAAACGAATTTTTCTCCATGAAATACTTAAAAGATATTGTTTTTTTCACTGGATTTTGATAAAGATATATAAAATGAACAAAAATATCAATAGCAGTCATGAGCAATGCCACGCACGAACACGCGCATCACGTCTCCCGCTGCCATGACCACGTGCGGATTGCAATACCTTGTTTTTACTTTCACTTTCACTTCATCCCCAAGTCCCATATCATTATCAATATAGTCAGTCAATAGATCTACACGTTCGGGACTCAGGAATTGCCTACGTCTTTTACGATCCAGCAGGCCAGCATTATTATCAACATCAGAATCATTGTCAGAATCTACTGCAGACACAGGGCTATCGTGTTCACATTGGGCTTGTTCGTCATGCACGGGAGACATAGCTAGCCATGGGCGGAACGTCGCGCAACAAATCACTCACTTCATAATACCAATCACTGTCCTGACTACTATCATTATCAAGTAACTGGAAACGAATTATGTGTATCACCCGCCTCGAAATTGTCCACGTGTTGGTCAGCAAGACGTCATTCACGACTTCGCCGAGAGTGCATCGTCTACGTTGTCACTATGCACTCCGCAATTTTACGGTTTGCCGCTTTGAAACACGTGGAAATATGTTCTAGTGTATAGAAAATACAATAGATGGCACTTGCAGTTACGGTACTAATTTTATCGAGGGCTTTACTGAGTACACGGTAATACCGGGTACGCGCATTTTACCGACATTTTATAATACCCGGTACTACCGGGTATACGCAGTGAAAGGGTTAAGCATGGTTTATAAATCATACTCTTTTAAGATACACATGATATACATGTATACATATAAAGCAGGGCTTCTACTTGGCCTATACTGTAAAGTCAGCAAAGGTTTTATACTTTATTGATTATTGGTACATGTATTTTAATACACCTGGTGCACATATTCTATTTTGAACTTGTTTGACCTTGAAATACTATATCAGATACCATATTATAATCCGATATGTCTATACGTTCTATACCTACAAATATAACACTATTTAATACATAATATATATCACCAATGGTGGGAAATGACAGGGCTGCATTTAAAGATAGGTTCCCAGAAAAGTATTTATCGGGTGGTTATTTCCAACAAAAGTATGGCAATTTTTGTATATATGGAAAGTAGAGATATCCAATCTTACTAGAAAAATACTGGATTCCCTAAAAAAAACACCCATGGAGCGTATACAGGACAAAAATGTCAGGGTTCCCCTAATCGATAGCCCGACGATTAAGAATATCTGCACGTGTGACGTCAAAGGCTGCACACGGAGATTGAGCGCTTGATGTACATGTTGATAAACTTTATGAAGAATTAGACATACAACACTTTCTGAGATAAAAATCACAGAAAAAGACGCGGGTAGTGGATAATCCGAGAATTTAATTAGGATTCGATATTTATAATTAATAGTCAGTGATTAAAGACAACATCGTCTTGTTATGCAATGAATTCTCCTCTGACTTCGCAGCCGTAAGTCACGTGACACAAACATGACCTCTTTTTTTATAGCAAGGGTATTTCTTGACAATTGCAATGTTTTGAGAAGGATTTGAAGCAAATTTATGATAAATTATAATTAGTTTGAATATGTTTTTAGGCCAAATATATCATCAAATCACCCAGTTTGTACGCAGGAATGTATCTTTAACATGAGAAAAGCGTATCATAGCTATAATAAGACTATATCAAAAAATGTGACCACCTACAAAAGATTTCCTTAGGTCCATTTGTTAGTGATAAATGTAAACATGGGGTGTGATAGGCATTCTAAACTTTCTAACTCAAGAACCATGAGTTTAAAGTTTAAACAATATTTATTTCAGATTTACATACAAGTAAATACATCTATTCAATTTTAACCTGTTGTTGCTTACAACATGAATTTGGGAAAAAATCACTATAAACAATAACTTTTTTTTATCTAACTTGGTATTCAACCTTAAATTCAACCCAATTTTAATTTGGTTATCTGCAAATTTAAGCTACATATTGTAATTGATAGGGTATGCAGCTAACAAAAACAGTACTGTTTGATTATCTCAAGAAATATGGAGACCTTTTTCTTAAATGCAGCCCAGTGTAAAGCTGTATGTACTTATGATACTATTTACTCTTTTACAACAAAAATGTTTCAGCAACACTGCTATATTAATGAATTTTCAGAATTCAATAAAAAACAAATTGAAGTATACATTTTGTGTTTGGTGATTGTTACAGTATAAAGATAAAGAAATAATATTGATATTTTTATATAACAAATGAATAATTTTTAATTAAAATCGTAGACCAAAAATTTCTAAGGCACTAAATATTTAATAAAATATATAGTTAAAAACTTATATAACCTAAACCGTGCAAAACTACTTCTCCCTCTAGCTGCTTAAACCGAGATCAAACTAGTTAAAGACCATATTATACTAGTTCTTTGACTTGGGCAGTTTGAGGTGATCTAGGGACCAGTAGTTTCGGGGGGTTTCTAAAAAGGGCTACAAAACTCAATGTAAAAAATATCACTTATTTTTAATCTCTTTAGGTAACTTAATTTGATAGTTAATATTTATATGTACCAGATGCTAAAGGGTTAATGTGTAATAGATACCTATCGTAGATATTTTTATGTTGACTTCTTCCTTCTAATATACATAATTCACTTTTAAACTAGCCTTGATTTCAAATAAAATGTTTTGACTCTACTTAACCCTTTAAGCGTCCAAAAAAGATCCAAAAAAAAAAAACTGGACAATTGCTCATCATAACATGATGTTTAAAATTATGCTGTGTTAAAGTTTTATCTGACCCGTGTTGCAACATTGTGATTGTCATGGTTACAGGGTTAAATGAACGTATATATATTTTTTTTGAGGGGGAGGGGGAAGGAGGGGAGAACATATTTCCAGTCATACATTTGGTGAAAGAATCACCACCAGTGCTTACTCTGCCTAGCAACTAATAATTTTGGTGATTTGTTTTCTTTTTTTTCTTTCCCCTGTAGCTGATATTGGTGAGATGCTGCCCCTGACTTCTGATTGTGAGTCTGAAGATACATGTAGTGATATAGAGCATGACTTCTATCAGAAAAAGGCTGAGGGTATATATAATTAGCATGCTATAGTTTAAATCGTAACTCTCAACAAACCATGAAAATCAAAGCATAAATAGGTTAAAGAGGAATTAAGGCTTTGGAGGACTTCATTTATTGATATAGTAAAAATGTTTTTAGTTTGTATCAAACAGTTACAGCACATATTCATATTAGATTGTATTTAATCTAATGAAACAAATCTGTCAGACATGTTTTCATTTGGAATTTAATAGTTGTTCAGTAAATCAGCACCGGTACGTAGATTTTTGGTAATTAGATGAATCTAAGATTATTTGCTATAGGACATTTATTTCCTCTGTGGAAGTGATAATTCCTTTAAGCTGTGAAAATTGAATGAAAACTGTTGCTTTTTTTATGATCTTCATTAAGGCATGTTCATTAGACAATGTAGATGTGAATGGCATAATTTGTAATTGCAAATGAAATTAAATTGGACGATTGAAATTTCACTGTAAATGTCAATTAGGAATCAACAGACAGTTCAATAGCGTTACACTTCAGTTTGTGAATTCCATTTATGTATGATCATGGAGATATAATTAATTAATATACAGTAGATTATTAACTGCAGTACTTTTTCAATGAGTTTGTCACCCAATAAACAAGTGGTGGGTGATAAGAAAAACTTTTCTAATAATTATATTGCAATATGTCTACATATCATCAGAGTTTACAAAAAATATCTAACATATTAATTTACAAAAAAGAAAAACAAAACAGATACACAGATGTATTGTTTCTCAGTTTTGTTATCACTTAAAAGATTAAAAGGAATAGTGTAGAGTAGTACCTAATAATAATAATAATAATTGATAGTCTTCTGTAGCGACATTATGTTCAAAAGTCATTTTCATATTATGATATTTTCATTTTAAATTAGGGAACAGGTTAATATTTATTTAAGATTGCACTCAATTTATTTTTTTAGTTATCTTTGGCCTAAAGTATACAATGCAATCTGGTACATAAAGTTTGATTTTCTATTTGAATTTAGATGTATGCATATAATGAAGAAACATGAATTAATATAATAGTAAAATAGTACATTTAGTATAGCCTAATTATTAAAGGAACTTTCCCCTTATGCGTTAAAACAATATAATTATTCTAAGAAATGTTTCTATGGCTGATGTTGAGTGGTATATTATTTTCACAGGTTATTTTGATCAAGTTTCACGTAAATTTTTACTGTTTTTATTTTGAGAATTCCATATACTTTTATTGTTATTTCCTATTTGTATAAACAGTGGAAGATATTTTGGATAAATTAATGGTTGATTCATATTTATTAACTACTACACACCCATAATTTAACCTGAGATCTACCCTTTATTTCTTGCAACATCTTTGCTTTTCAAGACTGTGTGAAAGCTAGGTCTGATAATTATCACACAAGATGCTGTTTATTATAATGAAGAGATGAACTAAAAATTTCACCTGAAATGTTTAATGTACTCCCTATGTAATTCAGTATTCGATTGCAAATACATGTATTAAATAATTTGATAAAAAAAAATACTTGATTTAAATATTTTGTGAACAATACTTGAAATGAATATTTTGTAAACAATACTTGAAATGAATATTTGTAAACAATTCCTGAAATAGATATTAAATTGTATTGCTGTGCCACCTTTAGAACAAATTGTTAAAGGGCAATTTTTCAAACATCCCGACATATTCTTACAAAATTTAAATAAATTTTATTTTACACATCCTTCACTTAATATTTTTTTATGATTACACTACATGAATAGGTGTATTCAAGCAAAGAGTACTTTATATACAAATGTATGTAGAATGTTAAGTGTATTTATGCATGAATGAGTAAATATATATCACCCCTTCCATCTAGAATAATATATTTTGTAGTCCTATATTTGTATAGTAAACTTACTCACAAAAAGAGATTCAAGATGTCAAAAATTAATTCCCATACACTAGGACTTCACTATGACAGTTAATTCAATTCTCAGGTTGCTGTAGATTCGGTCCATGGTTGCGATGTACTTGGGTTGCCATTTGTGGAGTCATAATAGTAGAAGTAGAAGGAAGGGGAGCGGGTGATGAAATTTTGGGAACCTGGGGGCACCCACGTCGTTGTTTTTAGTGTTTAACGTCCACTTCCACCAAAGATGATATCACAGACAAGTCTTATTTTTTTATTATTATTATTATCTTAGGGCACGCGTAGGTGTCTTTCCTGTGGGAGGAAACCGGAGTACCTAGAGTAAACCCACGAGGCTAAGAAGGCGCCCCTATCTCCAAGCCACATTTAAGCTCACACCAGGGATCGAAACCACAGCTGCAAGCCAGAGGTGACTGGCCAGCTAGAGGTCGAAGAGCGGCACTCTAGGCCATCCCCCCCATGTTATGCTGTAGCCCTTATTATAGCAAATCATCAATAGTGAAATCCTAGTATAATAACTCTAAAAACAAACTTGTACAACTTCCACATTTCTGATTTGGTCTCATCTTTTGATAAAAAAATAATCAACAAATTGCTCTCTCTTTTAAAGTAAGAAATGGAGATGTTATTAAACCCTGGGTTAATGGGAATATTGTTTGTACCTATTTATTTATAGTGAGGGGATCAAAAGTATGGACCTACCTTATAATTATTACCCATTTATTGCATCTGTAGTTATCATATAATTTAGTCTGTATAGTCTATAGTTATAAATGAACTAAAGTTTATATGAAGTTATATAATGTCTAATAATTTTTGCAATAGGAGAGATATTTTGCTTCCATTTTATGTACTTACTTTATTTCAACCTGACCTTTTTCTCGATCCACTTTTATATTTTGATTTTAGATCATAGCTAAACTTGATATTAGATTGTAAGAAATATAGACAACATTGTCATGAATATTAAAAAGGTTAGCTATTTTGATTTTACAGCTTGGTAATATTTTTATTTCAGTTCCTCATCAAGAAGAACCTGAACCATTGTGCCAAGTACCTGAAGGTTGTCTTAAGAAAATCATGTGGGTTGTCTCCCTTCCTCTCTGTACTGTTTTATATATGACTACACCGGATTGTCGTAAACAAAGATGGAAGAAATGGTTTTTAGTAACATTTATTATGTCATTAGTGTGGTTGTCAGCATTCTCATTTGTTATGGTGTGGATGATCACAGTTATAGGTAAAATAACAAAATGTCTATCATCACTTTTTATGTCCATGCATTTGACTAGTAGATTAATGAACAAGATATATAACTAACCCAATGTGTATTAAGAATCTTCTTTGATTGGCATTTAGTAATTGAACATATTATCCTGTCTGGGGAGAGATTTGTTCAGCATTACAACATCTAAGAATACAAATATCATTAGCCTTGTGTACCTCACCTATCTTCTTACTTGTTTTGTCTGTTTCCACCTAGGGCGATTTCTCAGACAAATCTTCTAGTGTATTATGATATAAGTCTTATCATGTTTGTAAGAATTGTTTTTAGTTGATAATGCATAGCAAACTAATAATTTAAATATAAACTAAAGTAATTGATATATTATTTACTACTGGTAGTCAGGTAGGATTAGACACTCAAAACTGCGTTAAGTGTAATTATAAGATTTGAATGATGGATAATTGAATTTGTCACTTCGTGGTATACTTATTGATAATAACTTGGGGTGAGAAGAATGTTAACACAAGTTGATTTTAAAAGTTTACATACTATCACAATCAATTCAAGCCAGAACTATGAACAGAACTCAAAAACATGCCCAGAAATAACTATTGTGAAATGATATTATTGATTATATTTCACAATTATGTCATAGTGAACTCAAAATAAAAAAATAATTTTGTGTCTAAGATGATTCAAGTATTCAGATTAATAAAATATGACACCATAGGAAAACACAGAATATGCTGTTAGCAATCATCACAATAGTTTATTTTTAAAGATAAATTTGTATTATTAAAAAGTAGATGATTTTTTATAATTACAGGTTTTACAGTTAAGATACCAGACAGTATTATGGGTTTAACATTTGTGGCATTTGGTGTCAGTTTACCAGATGTTGTAGCTAGTCTACTGGTTGTTAAAGAAGGTATATATATATTCTTATGATATTCTAAAACTACATATCTTACAATCCAAATGTAGCTCCGCTGTCCGGGTAAAATTTCTCTCATAGCCCACTATATGGCGTTTGCCCATTTTCATTAGCCCAGTTGAAGCAGAACAGTAGGATGTTAAACCCCATTTCATTTCATTATCATTTACATTCATAAATTGTGTTTAATTAAATACTAATAATGTGAATGATTTTTTTTTTTTTTTTTTGATTTTTTTTTTTTTTATAGTAGTGCACAAATTATCTCCCTTGACACATTAAGGGGAGATAATCTGAATAGTCTTGGATAGAAGGAACATTCAGATTTTCAATTTTCATTATGAATGTCTTAGATAACGATTGTGTGATAAACAGGTTATTGTATATTTTAGGACTGGGTGATATGGCTGTATCTAATGCTGTAGGTAGTAATGTATTTGATATATTAATATGTCTTGGTGTACCATGGTTATTACAAACTGGTGCTTTAAATCCTGGTGGTATTGTAACTGTTTATAGTGAAGGTATGTATCTTTATTGGTTGAATGATTTAGTGCATGCACTTTAGATCATAAAGTCTGTCACTGAGTCAACTGGCAGGGTTTCGATTCCCAGCTTGTACTTAAAACGAGGAGGGATTTCTTAGGGTCCACTGCTATAGACCCCTACGCTAAAGCAAATTAATGAAATAAGATTGAACGATATGTTAATCAGGAAATAACATAGTTTGTTTCACACAGACGCTAAACTCCATTTTTCTGTATTTCACATGCCTAAGCTACAGAGTGGACAAATAAACATTTAATTATGCAGACATGCATTCTGATATTATTATGTATATTTTTATTATGTATATTTTCAGGTCTAACATACTCTAGCCTTACCTTATTATCAACTGTTGCCTTTTTACTCATATCAACTCACCTTAACGGTTGGAAACTTGACAAAAAATTTGGTGCAATTCTTCTCGTTGTTTATATTTTATATACCATTTTAGCATGTATGTATGAACTCAATATATTTGGGTATTTTCATCCTGAAGAATGTCCTAGTAGTTATTAAAATATACATTCATAATAATCAACTGTTAATTATATAGATCTATTTATTAAAACAATATTTATTAAAAAAAAATTGGGGACCAAATATGTTTACTTTTGTTGACTTTTACTTTTATTTATTTTATATAAAAATATTATATATTGAAATGAATTTGTCAAACAACTTTCCAGGCACAAATTCCATATTTCAGATTTATCTTTTAAAGATATATACCTTTAATGACCTAGGTTCTGTGTTATTAACCATTTATTTACCAGGAATATAGATTCATTGTTTTAAGATCAATACAGTTGACAATTTTTTTTTTTAAATTGTGGCTGTATTACAAATCTTAAAATCCATTAACTATGATACTTCACCTAAACATAACTTGTCTGCACATGTAACTTAGAAGACACAAACTTCTACATCAGAGCACACCCACGCATAATCTGTGAGTCTCCTGTGTATTTTATTCTTTTTCCAATTCATTAGAAATATCATTTTTCCAATAATTATCTTATGAGGGGTATTTTGCATAACCACTGGTCTGATACACTTAGAAATATATCCAAATTAAAGTTATTAAAATTATGCTTCAATACAAGTTTTATTATATATCAAAATTATATAAAGATGCATGATCATTTTAGGGTTTCAAATAATGTAAGCAATGTATATTTTATTATGGGGTAAGCATCGTCATTTATAATGATATTAAATATCTTGTGTAAATATATTTATTGATCTTCAAAAGATGATTGCAATCATTTTTTTTTTTGTGTTTGAACATCTACAGTACGACAATATTCTAAATGCTTCATGTTCACCGCATGATGGGCTGGTGCTCTGTTAGATGATAGACTAACCTTGTACAGAACTTGGTCTGTGTATTCAAGTAAAGCTTAATATTGATGTTTATATTGTTACTGTGAAGGGTGATCCAGGTAGAACAATTTTTAAACATGTAGATTTTTCTCACAATTATTGGTACTGAACTATACAAGTGATAACAAGTTTTAGAATAAATCTGTTAATTTAAATATTTAAATCCACTCTGCTTCTATATAAATTTCATTTATTCCATTAAACATGCATTATGCAAGAGCTAAATCTGCCTATCGCAGGTCTTTCTTTAGGCCAGAAATCTTATCTTAATTATTAATTAGACATTAATTAACTTATCCAGACCATAATCAACTCTCGATGTCAAGGCTAGCCTTCGATATCGACTGGATTAGAATCCTATATGCTGCAAACGCTCATTGATAATTAAATCAAAACAGTGGATAATCGAGACTATGCTTTTTAACATATTAACTTTAGTAATGATGAACGAGGCTAGGCGGAAATTTACAAAGCTGATATCTCGGTTCATAGTGGACCAATTTGACTGAAATTTTCAACAAATTACCTTTACATTATCTAGTTTTTAACTATTATAGCGAGAACTGTCAGCTCTTTATCTAATCTCCCATAATGTATCTTTAAATGGATTTATATTGATATAATTCATCAAGAAATCTCTTGCACAAGGCGATACTAAATTATTAATCAGATGTACACAGTATACAGTGCAGAATATTGAGATAAACATTACTAGATTTGTAAGAATAGGATAGGACTGTTGTTCTTTCTGTATTCATACTTGTTCTTGTGTGATAAGTATATCTATTTTATATACTTTACTTTTTTTAAAAAATATTGTTTTTGTTATATAATTGTTATGATAGGCTACACCAATTTGAATTTTGGTTTGTTAGGATTCTCTTATATATTTTGAAAGAAAAGATAGCCAAAGAATTTAATTTTTTAGTAAAGAAAATGTTTTAGTCAGTGTTTTATGTGCAGTTGGTTGATGAATAATTCACTGCAACAGGGAAATCTGGTAAAACTTAAACTTAAAATGGTGTGGCCTTATTTTATGTTATTTATTTTAGATTTTAAGTTCAATTGAATTTAATGAAATCCAGTATTGGATAGGTTTTTTCAACGGCCAATACTAATTACCTTATATTTGTTTTGCGTAGGTTGAACTAAACATTATGATCTTCTACAAAGAATGAGTGGACCTTGAATCAATATTAAAACTGTTCGTGTTTTGTTTGATATTAATTAATATCTATTTTATTTTTGTTAAAACATTTTTGTTACATAATCAAGATAATTTGAATTGGTATTTTATAAGATAAACACCCGTAAGAGTGTGTGACCTAGTTTCTTTAATGATTTTTGTATAAGGATTATGAAATAGAATTATCAATAACGAAGGTCATTACACTTTCTTGATAATGATATAAACATGAGAAAGAAGAAATAGATCAATTCATCAATAATAAATTTGATCGATTAGACTGATCAATAACGAAGGTCATTACACTTTCTTGATAATGATATAAACATGAGAAAGAAGAAATAGATCAATTCATCAATAATAAATTTGATCGATTAGACTGATCTTTAGTGACCCAATCCCCTAGTAACATTTATTATCTTTTTGATAAACAAATGCAGAGCATCATCATTATAGATAAAGTGTCTGAATCTTTTAAAATGTTTTGATCAATAGATTAGCATTTTGTTTTCTAAAAATAATATATGTGACAAGGAGTAGGTTCGCATGTCCAACCTTGTGGGTTTTCTCCGGGTCCTCCGGTTTCCTCCCATTGCTAAAAACCCCTTAGCGCAAGCAAATTATTGAAATAAAATTTTAAACCATATGTCATTAAATGCACAAAAATGAATTTACATCTTGTTATAAGCATGTTTAATACTTCTGTTTTAAGATTTTTCTTAAATACTACATAGTTTGAGCTACATTTTGTGAAAGTTCTCTGAATCTCTTGTTTTATTAAGAACTTTAATATGACATATCTTTTAAACTGTTACATTTTTATTCATCACCATCTATTTATTAATATGGAGGATTGTGTTTGTGTAGTTATATGTTATATATAATGATAGTTTTTATCATTGGGTTGTATGATATAATTGTATATTCTGTGATATCAAATACATTATTTTCAATAAACATATCAAATTATTTCATTAATACTTTGACTTCAATTATTTACATTTGTCTAGAGTATATATTATTATCTCCCTTGATTGGTCGCTTCTCTAAAAGATCATTTCCAATTGGGATGCTCTATTGTCGGCCTAGAACATCCCAAATTGAAAGAATTGCAATTGAGTGATGCAGAATTAAAACTGTCACAGTTCTGTCAGTCCCAACAACAGAGGTGGTGTGAGTAGTATCATAATGTAATTAAAGACAACAAATATGTTTCAGCTTTTATGGTTGGTTGAGATATTTCAGATTGTCGCTATGGGGATTGACAAAATTCAATTCCGGAATGTTAAATCGAGTATCCCCTGTGATTGTTACAGTTTTTTTGGTTCATATTCAAGGTAGAAACATTTGGAAATCGCGTATGACATGTCCGGAATATACAAAATGAAATGGGGTTTAACGTCCTACTTTTCTGCTCCAAACTGGGCTAATGAAGACAGGCATACGCCATACAGTGTGTTATGAGGGTAATTTTGCCCAGACAGCGGCACTACAGCATACTCTTATATCGAATTCCAACTGTCAAGGGATCTTTCATGTACACGCCAATGTATACAGGGGACCTCGGTTTTCCGTCCCATCTGAACAACTAGACAGCTGTCCTTGTCAGGCCCTCCGTCCTGCATCACTGACAAGGGGGAACCACGCTGGAAAATCTGGATGAATTTCCTCGGTCAACCGGTATATACAAGCAAAGTAGCATCCATGGTCTAATGCTCTATTCAGTAGGTGTCTTTTTAAGTCTTGATCGAGTTTATAAAGTGTATTGACTGATTTTTATGGTAACCAAGATGACAACGTTAAAGGACATCAGAACTATCGTACATCACTACTGCAGGACTATATTCACAGCTGTTTCAATGTTGTTGTTTTATGTAGATCTAGAACTACTGTTTATACAGCAGCAAGCCAGCAACACAACCAATAACAAAATATAACACAATATAAATCTCTCAACCTTTTATTATGATAATTTGGTTTCCATTTCCACTTTATTTAATAACAAAAAAACAATCTGCCACCATACTTTCTTTCAATATTAATTTCATATTCAACAGAATTGATAATATTACATCATGTATACATGAAGCCATATCCATTTGAGTAGAAAGTTGTGACAAATTTATAATATTTTATTATATCACCATATAGTTTGTATTTTAAGAAATACATCTAAATTGATGTTACCTCTCCTGACTTATATTTCTGTCATTATTAACCATATATTATTAACCATCACATTGTTAATACCAGAAACTATTAGAATACTAATTACAACAGCCATTTTACTGTCACATTTTATCTTCAAATAGAACGTGTCTCTAACAATAACAAAATGACATAAACAGAATTCCTTACTTCAAAACTGATCCAAACTCTTTCATTTACGATCATTTTGGGGACTCCAAAAGATGTCGGCATCGTTCTTGCTCAGTTCATATTAACTATAAATATCACATAACATAGATCTATGACCAGGTAAGTTTATTTGTTGTGATAAAAACAGATTAGAAGATGGTATTCTTTCTAAATCTTACATTTAACACAACAAATAACTATCATTATTTATCTCACTTCTCTTTAGCCTCAGTTATAGATCGACGTCACTGCTAATTCAAGATATCTGACTTAACATCTGAACCGCACAGGGCCTTCACATAAAATTGTATTTTAAACAAAGCAGTTGGGGGCGGGGGTGTCACTGAAACTTTTGCCCTGGGGCTTGTGAGGGCCCTGGAACTGCAGAAAATATTATAATTTATATCTCACTGACAGGTCGGTTTGTCATGGAATAAGTTGTTGAGTTAAAGTTGCTAAGAGGGAAGATGTACAATATTAATATAGGGACTCCTGCAACAGTAGTTCATACTATATATTTAATGTAAGAATATTTTCTATCATGAATGCACAGGAGTTACACAAAATCTTTATAATTTTGCTTCAAGTTAAATGTAGCTGCATTACAATATATAGAAACACACATAATAACCTAAATATTACATGCAAATTTTAGCTGTACATGTTTTAAAAAACCATCAAGATTTTTCTTCCATGTAAAAAAATAACCATCTTTGGCAGTCGATTAAATAATGGCAACAATTACAAGCATTAGTCTCTTAAACATAGAAATATTGTTACACAACATAATATAATCAGTCAGTGTTATTGAAGTCTCACCATTAACATATGATTTCAATTTAATCTTAATTAGTGCATTATATACATATTTGACTTGATTATTACATTGTGAAGTTCAATCCAGCCTCAGGAAACAGTGTAGCGTAATCTCAAATTCCAAACTATAAAGCGCTTTGGATGATATACCGGTATATGCTAAAAGCTTTATATTAAGAAAAATTAACAACAGATTCTCTGATCAGCTTTATGTATTAATTGCATTATTGTTGTGTCAGGTAAATAGAACACAGGGTATATAAGATATATTTACAATATTTACAATTATGTATATTAATTAACTTTCTTTAATAAATGAAACAAGAAACAAAAAGTCAATGAAAATTTCAAAAAGTAAATTATGCCACATCAAATGCATTATTTGGGAATAAAATCAAACTAGCATTAGTATGAATCTTAAAAATTTGAAGTAAAACTAACAGATCATCTTCAAGATTTGAGTTACAAGTAAATTTCAGATGAAAAAATCTAAATGGCATTTTTAAGAATATAAAAAAAATTTAAAAATTATTGTTTTAAAATGAGAATTTGTGAAAAAAGGGTATTTTTAGCACTAATAAAATAAGCAAATAAAAATATTTGAATTTGTATGACTTAAATTCTAGTTTCCAGCAAAAAGATTTTGTCAAACAGATTTGTAAGTAGTTCTGTAAATAACACAAAAAACCCCCCAGAAGATTCAATAGCTGCCTCTTCAAATACTGAAAACAAAAATGTTGCATTCAGAAGATCTAATTATAATTACCTATCCTTGGTTTTAATTTGTTGGATTTAAGTGCAAATTGAAAGTGTCAATTTGATGTGTCTCTTTCTATGTTATAAATTTTGTGTCGGTAGATAATGTTCAGACTTTTTGTTGAACAGCCAAAATGTCAAATAAGGACAAAGACAAAACCTAATTCAAATACTTATTTTGCCCTAAATTATTTTGCAGTAACTAATAAAACCACTAAATACATTTTCTAATAAAAAATGGTGTAAGAAAATCACTGCATCCAAATTCCTGTATAACTGATACTACCGGTAAGACATGTTCTAATATCATATTTAGTATTTCGTGATTAAATCTAACAGTACATGTATAAATGACAATCGCAGGATGTCATGTAACAGTGAATTATGGTAAAAATCTGGTAAACAAAAAAAAACAATAACAAGCAAAAATGATAACAAACAGCAGTCGTAATACTTTTGGATAATTTACTTAAATAATAATTTATAATAACATGGCACGCAATCGTCTATCTTTTCAATTTAACATATGTCAAATTATTGATTCACCTTTGGTGTACATAACAAATAAAGGGTAATAATATCCCATATTTCTCATCTTTGATAAAATTTTGTAACCGGTTCCAAATGAGTAAAATCACAGAATATCTTCAATATATAAGTAATATCGTAGATTTGTAAGTGAAATGGTATAACACTGAGTATAGTAATATTAATATTAATTAATATGTGTTTATAGAACATAATTATGTGTGCTTGAAAATAGCACATATTCAGTTGTGAGGTATTAATTTCATAAAACAATAAATTCATATTTTCCACTATTGTTATTATGTCTGTTATATTATTCAGTATTATAACGGTAAATAGTTGAACAATATTTGATTTCTTTGAACAATTCTAATGATTCCATTATATGAATTAACAATATTATTAATTTATGCTTTTCATTCAGTCTTCATCGTTTTGTTCATCATGAAGCTTTGACTTCATAAAACCATTCAGACTTTAAGTGTTTAATGTCTAAAGTTCTCTAACGGTTTACGGTGGTTGGTCTGATATCACAATGTTTCATATATCGCTCACATCTTTTTAGTCGATTATGTTGTTTTTGCTGTGCAGTGTTGAGTGGTGAATTTGATCAGATCGGTTGTACTCATGACACAATCATTTGGATGAAAGGCACTTAATTATGTTGTTATTATTCTTAGATAATGAATCCATGAGAAAGGCTAAGAAATAAAATGAAGATCAACTCATCCATTCACAAACCAATATAGACCATACTTCCAGTCCAACAACCTTATGTTATATCTGTCAGCCACAAGGCAAGCTCATGATTGCTGCCAAAAAAAAAAGAATAACATAGCGCTTGTAAGCTTTATAAATGCCACCGTCTCCATGGTAACTACAACAATTCCCCCTTCAAGCCGCCACTTCCACATCTTTTAATCCTTTAATATTCCTTAAACGCATGGCAACGGCTGCTACCAGTGCTGCCCCCTTTCCACTGCCATCATGAGATAATGCTAGTTTGAACTGAAAAAAAAAAGAAGAAAAAATGAAATATTTAAGAACATAGAAAGAAACTAAACTAGAAATATAAATAACTAGAAGGATGCCCGGCTTCGTTCGGGGGTCATAACCCCAAAACCGGAAGTGGTAGACTAACGCCACCTGGCCTATGTTTTTCCCCGGTCCGAGCTACCCCTATACCCCAAATTTCAGACTCGGGGCAGACCTAGTGTAGCCGCCAACCCCGAACAGACAGACAAACGACAGTCACAAATATTAGTATAGATGTTATTCTGGTTAGGAGAGGAATCATAAATTATTTTTGCTATTAAAAGCAATAGGCAACAAACTCTCAGTTCTAAAAAAAACAGTTTAGAATGTTTACCTTTTGTCCCGGTCTGATAAGTTCCTGTATTTTAAGGCACATGAGATTGTGAAATCGTGGGTGAAATCTGTAGAGAGATCCATCAACAGCAATAGTCATTTCTTTACGACCAATTTTATTGATTAAAGTTGCTAAACCTACAAATATAAAAAACATTTTGATTTTAGAAATCACGTCTTTAATGAAGTTAAAAAATACTTGAATATATAAATACCAGTATAAATTAGCACCTGTTGTATATCTACTGTATAAAGCAAAGAAATCCTACCATTACCATGACACTTAATTCATACATTATACTGCAGAACACACCATTTAATTTATCATTTTAGGACATCTAATACCAAGGTAATAAAGATCAGTTGACTTTTTTTCAAGAAAATTAATATTTACAATGTTGAACAAGACAGGCATGTGTAAACCAGAAAAAGAGCAAAAACGTGTTTGGTTAAATAAACACAAGTGCATATTGTAAAGTGCATATAAACAGTCAATATCAAGCATCTATCCTATCTATAAATAACTGATATAAATAATAAACCCACCTGCTGCAGCTAAAAACGCAGCTCGTGCCGACACCAATGTACAAACATACTTCACTATTTTACAGTCTTCTGTTGTAAAATTCTCAATTCCTAATTCTTCTAATACTTGCTTTGTGTTGGCAAAAAACTCATCATGATCACTGTAAAAATAACACCCCCCAAAATGTATTATTAAAATAATTACAGAGGAGCAGAACCAATGTTGAATACAAATATTTTCCCTGTGACCTGATATATACCACGATAAAAACAATGCTTTCATATCTAAAATATTGCTTAAAATGACAATGAAAAATAGGTGTATAATTTGAGACTCAGTTGGTTTAAACAATATACATAACACAATGTTCAATTCCACCACATAATTTTTATTCTGCAAACACTCATTGTCTTTATGTATTCTCCCTAGATCAAATAATCTGAATTGGAACTAAAGATTTCTGTCTTTCAATTTCTACTAACCTCTCAATTTCAGATACATATTTGGTGTAAAATTTTCCTCTTTCAAACAGAAGACATTCTCTGTCCGCTCCATGTAATAATAACCCTTCCATAGTTAATCTCTCTAACACCAGACGTACTATCTCCCCCATATACATACCAGATATCATTTTCTCCATACTATAAAAAAATATAGCATTTTTATTAAACAGATATCAGAACAATGGCAATAAACAGCTGGAATTTCATCAAACTCTCTCATTCAAATAATGCAGAAACATTTGATTTCATAATATAAGGCGTGTGCAAATTTACTGTGCAGCCAACAAAGAACTGTATAAACTCTAGTGCACCCAACCATTTACAGACATATTATTTAGAAATCTAAATGCATACACAAAATCTAAATGTATGAAAAGGAAGTATAAATAAATGTACTGGCCAACCTATGGTCTTTTATGGTAAAATTATTTATATTTTTAGTGCTGGTGGTATGCAAATAAAATGCATTAAGGAAGTCTAGCTAAAAATAGAGGATCCAATCATTCATCTACAAAACTAGTGCAATAAAAACTCATGTCTATCCATTTAAAAATACATTATGCAAGAGCTAAATTGCCTATTGCAGGTCTTTCTTTAGGCCTGAAATATTATCTATATTATTAATTAGACGTTAATTAACTTATCCAGATCATAATCAACTCTCGATGCCATCGCTAGCCTGTGATATTTAGCGGATTGGAATACATTTTGTGAAGGATGATTAAACGCAAAAATGGATAATCGAGAATTTGTTTTTTATCGTACCGACTTTAGTAAGGATGATCGTCAAAATTTAAAATTCAAAAGCTAACATCTAGTGCAGAAATTTGACTGAAATTTTCAACATATTCTATTTCAACATACGTTATGTATTTTTTAACTATTATAGCGAGTACTGTCAACTCTTTATCTAATCTCCCATAATGGCCCTTTAATAGTCTCATAATTTTTGGTCCTATGTACACATTAGCATGCACGTAAAAGATCCCTTGACCGTTGGAATTCGATATAAGAGTAGGCCGTACTGCCACTGTCTAGGCAAAATTTCCCTCATAGCACACTGTATGGTGTATGCCCGTCTTCATTAGCCCAGTTCGGAGCAAACAGTAGGACGTTAAGCCCGATTTCATTTCATTTTCCATAATTCATGCCCCCCCCCCCCCCTCCCCCTAGCTATCATGTTACATTTAGCATAGTTTTTGCATAATTTTTATGGTTATATTTTCTTTTTGTTTTATTTAAAAAAAAGTGTGCTATGAAATAAGAACCTAGGCATTAAATCTCCTAATAAAAATACATTGTTATGAAATAAGAACTTGCGCATTAAGACACGTCTATTCATTTAATAGTCCCATAAATTATGCCCCACCCCACCCCCCAATAGCTATCATGTTACATTTAGCATAATTGTTGCATAATTTTTATGGTCATATTTTCTTTTTGTTTTATTTAAAAAAAAGTGTGTTATGAAATAAGAACCTAGGCATTAAATCTCCTAATAAAAATACATTGTTATGAAATAAGAACTTGCGCATTAAGACACTCAATATGGTAGGCCAATGGTTTATCTTGAGACAGTAAATAAATCTTCATAATGTTCATCGAGAGTCGAAATAAGATTTTAATATTGACAGTACTCTGGCAATGGCTTCTTTTTGACATTATTAAAACAAATGAAACCTTATATAATATTGTTCAACAAATTTGTTGAGCTTTTCTTATGTCCACATTACAACAAATCATTTTATATGTTGTAGGGCTTGAAATCAAGTCAAGTTTTATTTAGTTTTGTCTAGTACAGTTATCCTTGCTATGTTTTCAGAATGATTACCTCAGTATACAAATTACTTTTTGTTCTTTGCATTGCAGTTTATTTGCTCATAAATCTAAAGACCAATTTTGACATTTTGAACAGCAGCATTTTCGATATAAATATACAATACATATATATGAGAGAGAGAGAGAGAGAGAGAGAGGGACTAGGTCATTTCAGGACTAACATATGGTTCAATTTTATTTCAAGAATTCGCTTGTGTTAAGGGTCTTTAGCAATGGGAGAAAACGGAGGACCCGGAGAAACCCCACAAGGTTGGACAGATGACCCTACTCCTTGTCACGTACAACCTGGGAATCAAAACCACGTCAGTTGACTCAATGACAGACCTTGTCATACAACGAGCACACGCTAACCATTAGGCCATCCATCCCCCACCCCCACCCCCCAATTTCGATGAGATAATACTGTTTGAACCTTTACTTGAATAACATCTTACCACTATACTTAAAATGATACAAACTCTTGGATTTGGGTAAAAAAATAAAATAGTCTTTTAGAAAATAATGGGAACTTTAGATGGCCATATCTTCCATTATTATTGATCCATTTGGGTAAATTTTGTATCAATAAGCTTTTGTGAATAGAAATGCATCATCATTCAAGCTATTGATACAAGAGAAAAACGATGGCGGCATGAAACCAATAGAAATTCTTTTTTTCTGGAAAATCGCTGCTTTAAATAAAAACAAAGTAAACAGGACCTAGTGTCAAGTAAATCCTATGATGGTCTTGTCAACATTTGTTTCTATTTTTGTATATTAATATTTTATTTGCTTCATAAAACATTTTTTTTGATTTGTTTTAGTTTGGGGTTTAAAGGACTTTTATTTTATGATTAGTATAATAAATCTATTATTGTTATCTATGCTGAATCACTATAGACATGCAGGAGATACGTGTTGAAATATGTAGGACATCTTGTTCTCTTAATCCATAAAACAACCTTGTGTGTAAAATAAATATCAGTTATCGAACAGTGTCTGTGAGGTAAAGATTGTCAGACTTACATTTGTTTTCCAGGATTGATGGAATAGGTGTCAAGTTCCCGGTCATACTCTGTTCTTATAAAATCCAGACAACCATTATCACCAAAAGCCCCCCATTCAGTGTTTATAATAACCTGAAATATGATACAGTATATATGTAAATAATAACCACCACTTGCATATATTTAAAGACATACTTAGATGACATGATATAAGTATATAACAATATGTATGGTATATATACATACCATAAACAGATGTACTTTAGTACTGGGTCACTGAACTAGGGAATGACAAGTCAGACATTTAATTACTAAGGTGTCAAAATATGTTTTTGATTTACTGGTGACCTTAGATTGTTTTATGCGATCATGTCCATTGTGAACTTAAATGTTTCATAATGAAATACAGAAATCTGTCATTCATGTCCATTTTGAAGTAAAAATGTTTCATAACGAAATTCACTTTATGAGCGTCTGAACTTCTCTTTAGTGAAAATAAAAGTTCAATTCATCTGCAAATGAGACAGCTCTTAAAAAAGTTGAAGATGTTTTTTATTTACAACATTTAATCATAACATTTAAATTTAAGCTTATAGCACTAATGAATTCAATCGAACAGATAAACAGATTTATCTTTATATCAAATGACCTTATAATGACTTCTTTTTGTTTAAAAATTATTCAGAATGTGTGTGATAATTTAAACGGTCAAAATGACAGATGATAAACATATATGTTTATTATTTAAATAAAAGGCTAAGAATGGATAATAAAAGTAGGCCTATTATTTGTATTTGTTTGTATAAAAAAAGCTAAATAAATAATCTTGTGACATCAATGACAAATTTACGTCAATATTTATTTATCTGTCTCTTATTGGTTTATACTTCTCATTTTAATATTTAATATGTTTTGTCTGTTAATGATCGACATCCCCTTCCCTACACCACCTCACCCACCCTAAGAGTAAATGAAAAGTTTAATAAACAATATAAAGATTGGGCAGCGAAGAACAACATGTGTTTACCTTCCCACTATAGGTTGAAATCAATACACCACATTCCAGCTCAAAATATTGAGACTCATTGATTTCTAACTGGCACGCTGCCAATTAATGAATAAACCTCCACTCGGCTCCATGCCAAATTTCTGTTTAACAAATTGCGATGTTAATCACAGAACACAAGTATAATCGACTGCATTTTATTCAATAAAAAGACAGCATAACAATCTGAGTAATGTCAATATTTTGAATAAAAATGTCATCCCGGTTTTTTGTCTTCCTAGTCGGATGAAACCTCAGAATATGAAATATCTATAGCTGGTAATTTATCAATACAACCAATAACTCTATAGAAATATTTTATTTCTGTCCACAGATCTCCGGACATTTTCTGTGAATATTTTATCTTGTGACCTGCCCTGATTTAGAATCTAATTTACATGAATACATTAATGGTCAAGTTTTTTAAAAAACCATGAAAATTTGACCAATAAGGAGGTTTATTAAATTCAAATTCTATCTCATAGACAAGCGTTTACCCGAACCATCAGCCACGAAGTAAATAACGCCCACGTAACCTATATTAGTATTATTCAACAAGTGTCTTAGACAACAAGGTGATATTTTAGTGAAGGTTATATATTCACTGTTAGTACAGCCTTCAGATAAACTATAAATAGCCTAGCTTCTTCTTAAATATATCATAGGCTTCACTCATAAATATACCACAGGGAATATATTAATATATCACAGTTTGTCTGTAAAATAATGACAATTCTTTTATATAAAGATAGGTTGCCAGGCAACGAAACATATGCCCAGAGCAGCTAAGTCCTCCGAGCAGTCAAAACGAGTTGTCACATATAAAATCTGATTAAGAGTAATAACTCATTAGGTAATTATCAGAAAATCATTAGAATTTATTTGGCTTTTAGTTCTGCCCCATGCTAACGTTTAGTATACGAAACATTTAATATCATGGATTTAGCTGTTCAAGTTATCAAAATTCATTGAAAATCTGTGTATCAATCTAAAGTCAATCGAATGATAACTTTGGTCTCTAAAGCATCCACAAGATTTTTTTAAGTGATCAAGGGCCATAACTGTGGTAGTAATTATCGAAAATCATTGAAAATCACTGGGCAATTGTGGACGACAGACGGGGGTGACGACAATATATGACCACATTTCAATGTGGGCGCATTAAAATACGGTGTCTTGGATATGGAACTTGATATTTTCAATCAATTGGAAATAAGATGAATGCACTTTTTAATTGAAATTAAAAGTTTCGCTATATTTATATATTGTGAATTTCAAATATTAAAGCACAAAAGTTAACGAATGTTCTAGGGTGGTACTAACATGTATATTTCACTACTTATATTCAATACAATTACTGTGTGTATATTGGATATTCAATACACAAAGACACCTACATGTATACACCATCTCGCGTTCAAACTGGGTGATTTGATGATATATTCGGACTAAAAACATATTCAAACTAACTAATCTATCAAAAATTTGCTTCAAATACCTCTTAGATTAAACTATGTGTGCTGTAGTCATCTAATTGTTGTTGGTGTATTGTAGAGTATGATACTTTTACAGTATTTTAGAGCATGATAGTATAGTATTGTAGAGCATGATAGTTTTATAGCATGGTTCAAGTATAATAGTTTTACAGTATTGTAGAGCATGATAGTTTAACAGCATGGTTCGAGTATCATAGCTTTACAGCATGGTTCGAGTACCATAGTTTTACAGCATGGGTCAAGTATAATAGTTATACAGTATTGTAGAGCATGACAGGTTTACAGCATAGATCGAGTACGGTAATTTTACAGCACGGTTCGAGTATCATTGTTTTACAGTATTGCAGAGCATGATAGTTTTCTACAGCATGGTTCAAGTATAATAGTTTTACAGTAATGTTCGAGTATGATAATAGTTTTACACTATTGTTTATTCTGTGTGTTTATATCAATTCACACACAGAATGTTATTTCATCTTACCTGTTGTGGATGATCGTCATCAGCAGCTTCCCATAATCCAACATTATCCAGATCTTCCATATAACATGCATTACATCCTGTTCCTGTTCAAAAAATTAAATCCAGACATGATGTGGCAATACATTAAACATCAAACTGATAACAACTCAATATTTACTACAGGTAGTTTACTATTTAAATCTTATCCCATACAGTTTTAAATGTTTAATCATCTTTATTACAATGTTCCAATTCAAAAATATTATTTTGTTTAGTTCATTTTTGTAATCCCGGGAAAAATGCATATAGCAAAAATATAAATATCAGAAGAAAAATAAAAACCTAATATAAGTCCTATTTCACAATTTCTATCACTGTGGGCTGCAGACATTAATGTTCCAACAGCATCATTCACAACGGCTATAATTTCAACATCACAGTTCTGTACAACAAAAAAAAGATAAAATATTTAGCCTCTTTCATTGAGCCTGTCTTAAAGCTGGATTATGTCACAGCTAAATCTACCTATTGCAAGTCATTATTCTGGCTTCAAAAGTTATATAAAATATTATTTAGACATTTATTTACATAACAAGTCTATCTATATGTAAAAGTTACTTACTGTTCTACGTTTTAAAGCTTCATGTAATAAATGACATATATTTTCTCCTACAACACCTTCACATCGGAAACCTTTTGTCCATTTTGATAATCTGGCGGCCGCTAAATCTTCTTGCTTACACGGGAAGGAGAATGTAAAACCAAGGGGTAATTTCTGCCCCTGTATATTATGATCTTTAACAAATTTACCAATACAATCAGCAATATGATCAAATAACTGTAAATAATAAAAAAAGAAGGGTTTAAAATATTTTTTTATACAAATTTTAATTTTTATTCATAGTAATATAACTGACTAACTGCATGCAATGAATGCCACAGAGGCTTCTGTTCATTTATATGTTCGATATTTTGTTGTAATTTCTCAGAGAGATTTATTTATTTTGAAAAATAAGCAAAAATTGTTTCCTACTGAAATCATTTTATGATGAGATAATATGACTGCAATCTTATATAGGTCCAAGTTCAACCCCTTTTTGTTGCAACCAAATGTATCATTCAGTCATTAATACCAAATGTATCATTCAGTCATTAATTTCTTGTTATGTTTTAAAGATTACCTGTTTTCCTGTACCCAACATAATTCTCTGTGGTATGAGATACGTTTTACTTTCAATTTCTACATCACTACCATGTAATTTAACCAGTAATACTCGGAAATTAGTTCCTCCTAAATCTAAGGCCAAAAACTCGCCCTTTTCTGCATTAAAAAAACAACAAATTACAATCAATCTTAAAATACAGGCTTTTACAATCCATTAGCCATAGTTATCTTTCACATTTTATTAAACTGTTCAAGGAAATCAAACTTGGGCATGTTAAATATCTGTGCTTCCCTTTCCTATTTTTCGCTTACAGTTTTTTAAACAAAATATTTGTGCTTCCCTTTCCTATTTTTCGCTTACAGTTTTTTAAATAAAATTTTCAAGTAATAATCTTGAATACACCTATGTTGCACTCTAAAAGCAAATTGGACCGGATCCGTCTGCCAAAATATGTAAAACATGATTTAATATAAACAATAATATAGGTATAGAGAGTACTATAGTAATATATATACAAAATGTTATCCTGTACCTGTTCCATCTGGTAATGATCGGACAAATGTCGGAAACATTTTAATATCGGCAACATGATTTGTTTGTTTAGTTAGACCACTTTTCATCTCACTGTTGAGAAGTGTCATAACACGTTTATATGTGAGAGTAGAGAGTTTAAAACCCTTGACAAATGCCTCGATCTGAAATAAAAAATTAAAAAATTTTCATGCTGAATAAAATTGTGATAATAGAAAGTTAAAATGATTCAACAAGCTTTTTTCTCATAGCTAACTATGATGGAATGGGTCTGAAAATATTGGTTGCCAGGAGACAAAGGGGGTGCACCCACCAATACAATTCTATCATTTAATTTTTAAAATGAATAAATTAAATTTTCAAAAAATATGTAAGTGGAAACAAAAAGATGTAATTAGAATTTTCCCGATCTTGTTTTCCTTATATTTTTGGATAATTCATATTATAAGTATGTTGTCTAATGTCTATGGGGCCCCACTTCCTCAGGGCCCCACTTGCCCCAGCAGATAAAAACCCCAGCAGACAGAATCCCATGACTTTAATTCCAAAAGAGGATGAAAGAATAAAGCATAATATCTATGTTTTCATATTAATTTTTGAAGAAAACATTAGTAACAGATTAACAATAAAGAGAAATTAAATATCAATCCCTTTTCTGTATTCTAGGAAGAAGTGTGGTAGTTTTTTTCACATCAGACACATATTTTCTGATGGGCAAGATGTTATTAATAGAATTATTATAAGTACAAGGATTATACATGAATTCTAATACTCTGTACCATCCTTAAAGCTTGGGATGGAATCCCACTATAAAATAGAACCAAACAAACACATAATACTGGTAAGTAAGTTGATGCTATGCAAAGAATTAAACTAGATTATGGGCTCACATTAATCTATCATACTTGTTTTGGATGGGGGAAACCAAGCTTTTTATTTAAATTTATATATAAAACAAATTTTATTTCAAATTGACCACAACCGTAACAGTCATCAGCAGCAGCAAATGAAATTGGTAAAACATCTTTTTGTGTCGTTTATTTTTTAATGTGCTGACATTGAGATTTCTTTTAGCACATAGCCGATCATGACTCACACCAGCATGATACAACGCTTAGGAAATATTCCTCCATGTTTCTTGGATTGTTTCCCTTGTTACTTTGTTTTCAGTTTGGTTGAAGCCTGAAACATTACAGGGCAGTGGATCCTTACAACTGGCCACGGGATCCATTCAGTTGATTTGATATTTATGTTTGTTGTTTATTGTTTGAGATGTCCGTGTATGTTATGTCGTGTCCATGAGTTTGTCTTCTGTAATTGTTTATTGAAGAAGATATTTGTTTGTAAAATTATGCCATGGGTAAGTTGAATGGAATTGAATGGAAAATTCGCATTGCTGTCTTATGTCATGGATTATTACCAAGATACAAACGGTTTAAATTTAAATATACAACTGCACTTCAATTCAAGTAACTGAGAGCACTGAAAATCATTCCACTATTAAAGGCTTTGACAAAAAATACGCTGTTATACAACAAGCCAAGCTTATGTCCCCTGCCGTAATCCCAAAATAAATAGATGACACATTTTAATTAATAGCACATTTATTTTTTTCAAAAGTATCAAGCAATCAAACTGATTATCAACTATACACTAAGTTTCATCACTCTCTATCAGAGAGAATCAATGTTATCTTGTCCCAAAGCATCAACCAATGAAATTGCTTAGCTCTGCTTAGCTTTAGCTCGAAATGTTAATCATTGAACTCAGTCAAGTCATTCACCTAATGAACATCTACATCAAGTTTAAACATTCTACCGCAATTAAAAGCAGAGTTGTTATATATGTTCCAAAGTCTTAACCAATCAAATTGCTTATCGCTCCTTAGCCTAAGCAGAAAAATCTAATCATCGAACTAAGTCAAGGTAATGATATAATGAACCTTTACTCAGAATTTCATCACTCTCACTTAATTAAAACTAAAGTTATCGTGCCCCAAAGCATCAACCAATCAGATTGCTTATCTCTGCTTACTGTAAGCAGACAACGTTTATCATTGAACGCCATCAAGGCATTCACCTAATGACTGCGTACACCAAGTTTGAACATTCTACCTGAATTTTAATAGTCCCCTGCTTTCTTCGAAAGGCGGGTGACAATTATAATAAATTCACTGTTTTATGTAATACAATATGTGTATACCAGCATTATGTACCTGTATTTATTTTATTTCAATCATGAACTGGTATATGATTAAAAAAATGAATATGGAACTATGCATACCGTATAATCGGGTCAGTGGGCACAAATGTACCTTAAAGTCTTATTTATGGAGTTGTGCATACAGTCCATTATACACAGCATTATACAATACACAGCATTATAAAATACACAGCATTATAAAATACACCTAAAAACAATTTACAGTTCTCTTTGTATTTTTTACAGAGCAAAAACTTTTAATGGTAATAACACACTTATGCACAAAACTATTGACAGAATTACAGCTTCCATTAACCAGTCCTTGTATTGTATCTATTTTATTTCTACCATCAAGTTACTGGACAATGAAAGCAGTATATATTATATGCAATAAGCTAGAACAAGGCTGCCAGAGAGTGATATAAATAGTTACACCAGCTTCAGAGCTTGGCAAGTTACAAGAGTCAGTGAAATTAGATCTAGTGAGATGTACTTTTTTCCACTCAGGAATTTTGTTTACTGCCAAATTATATTACCTCTTTTCTATAGATCATTTCTATATATTATTTTCTAATAGTGCTTCAACATGGTTCTCCATTGCATATATTCAAAAATCAAAATTAAAGCAGTAACAAACTAAACTAGAACTGCGAAGCAGTAATGACGGGTTTCACCGGTGCCACGTTACCCTTGAACTTATGTCACTTCCGGTACCAATGAAACCGTTAAACAGGTTTCCACATAAGCATTGCACACATGAAATAAAATGGACGCAGAAACAACCAAATCCAGCAATCAATTCATTTGCTACATGTCAGTGATCCTGTCAAAATTACATTACTTCCGGTGATAATGAAAATGTTAAATTGGTTTATGAAATCAGAAATAGCATCATCACATGTTGAAAATTTTATGTAAATCCTATAATAATTGCCACCTTTATAGACCAAAAACCTTGAAAAATGACTTGTAGAAAATCGCCTATTTCTCTGCAACCGTACAAGTTAGAAACCATTTTGAGGTATCTGTATGATCGAATGAGTTCATTCTATTTGTTGATTGGAATCAAATATCATAATTTTAAAAACATTACAAATCTGATTCATTTGAATAAAATATCTGTTTTGAAGGCTAAAAATACAGTTTTTGCCAAAATGTCGTTACTTCCGGTGATAATGAAAATCTTAAATTACTTGTATGATATCGTAAATGGCATTATGTATCACACAGTGAAAATTTCATGAAAATCGAATAATAATTGACACTTTTTTTGACAAAAAAACCTTAAAAAGTGACCTGTTGAAAATTGCCTATTTCTCCGCAACTGAACAAGTTAGAAACCATTTTGTGATATCTATATGATCGTAAGGGTTCATTGTATTAGTTGATTTGAATCAAATATCAAAATTTTAAACAAATAACAAATATGACTCATTTGAATAAATTACTGGTTTCGAAGGCTATAAATACAATTTTTGCCCAAATTACGTCATTTCCGGTGATATTGAAAATGTTAAATTGGTTTGACCTAGTTAAAATTGACATTACACATCAAATGGTGTCACTTTTATGAAAATCGAATAATAATTGACTCTTTTACAGGCAAACTAGCGTAAAAAGTGACTCATGCAAAATTGCCCATTTCTCGGCAACTGCGCATATTACAAATTAATTTTCACATACATTCTCTCCGTATAGATTATTGCTACGAGTTTATGAAAGTTACGAAGTAATATTTTAAAATATGAAAACGCTGAATGGGTTGTAAATAGCTTAATTTTACACCTTTTTTCACCTTTTAATCGAAATAGCCCGAAAACGGAATCGAAATTAAAAAAAATGGTCCCAACATTTTGTGCGCCTTTAAAGGGCGCACAATTTCAGTTATACCAGATTTGAAAAAAATAATATTTGCTTTCGAAAAATGGTACCTAACTGTCAAAATTGTAGTTTTTTGTCAATTTACGCCACTTCCGGTGCCGACAGATAACACTATTGGTAACAAAAAAAATGACAATTGAGACAACGGGGCATATGAACTTTGTTTTATACAAATCGAACAATAAATAATTAATCTAGGACTGAAAAACTGAATTAGCCAATGGGGGCCAAGGAAAATTACCGAGACAAAAAATTTTCACATTTTTGCCCAAGTCAGAGGACTCGTTATATTTGTGTAAAACACGATTAAAAAATATTCATAAATAAAAAAGTTTTTTGTAAAAATTTAAATTTTCTAAATTTAGCGCCTAATATCTGCGAAGATTTGCCGAAAATCAAAAATCAAAAGTAGCGTAGCTATGTGCCCCGTCTCCGGCTATGCCAAAATGCATCGAAAGTTAAAATCCAATGATTATTGTTAAAATTACTGCAATATTTCTAAAAACGATAGCTTCGGTGATTTCGGACATTTTGCATTGTCGCAGAACGTTCAAAATAGCTTTATCCTCTAAGTCACACCCACTTTTCCGATAAAACCGAAGAAATCGTAACGATCCGACAATCAGTTGCTGAGATCTACTCAAAACAAAAGAAGAATAATAATAATAAGAATAACTAGAACTGCGAAGCAGTAATGACGGGTTTCACCGGTGCCACGTTACCCTTGAACTTATGTCACTTCCGGTACCAAAATTACATTACTTCCGGTGATAATGAAAATGTTAAATTGGTTTATGAAATCAGAAATAGCATCATCACATGGTGAAAATTTTATGTAAATCCTATAATAGTTGCCACCTTTATAGACCAAAAACCTTGAAAAATGACTTGTAGAAAATCGCCTATTTCTCTGCAACCGTACAAGTTAGAAACCATTTTGAGGTATCTGTATGATCGAATGAGTTCATTCTATTTGTTGATTGGAATCAAATATCATAATTTTAAAAACATTACAAATCTGATTCATTTGAATAAAATATCTGTTTTGAAGGCTAAAAATACAGTTTTTGCCAAAATGACA